CAACGGTTCGTTTCAATGGGCTTTGGATCCAGGGTTGCCAGGTCAAAATTTTCAAATTGTGGGAGAAATTAGGTATTTTGTGGGAGAAATATAAAAATTGTGGGAGAAATTGCTAAAAAAAATTTTTTTGCAGGCCTTCGGCCTGCAAAGGACCGGGATTTAGAATTGACTTAGTTATCCACTTATTATTTTTTATAAATATAAAATCTAATCTATTTTCCAAAATAAAATAGGTAATTATTTTTCAAAATAAAATAGCTAACTTTTTTTAAAATAAAATAGCTAACTTTTTTTCAAAATAAAATAGCCAACTATTTTTCAAAATAAAATAGCCAACTATTTTTCAAAATAAAATATCCAACTCTTTTTCAAAATAAAATAGCCTAACTATTTTTCAAAATAAAATATCCAACTCTTTTTCAAAATAAAATAGTTAACTATTTTCCAAAATAAAATACCCAACTATTTTTCAAAATAGGTAATTACTGTACGACACAAAATTTCTTAGAGTACTATCTTTATTATTAAAAAAACATATTGATTTATTATAATATATTAATTTTGTTTAAAAATAATAACCAACGATCTTTTTTAAATACAAAAAAATGTAAACAAGATAAAATTTTATAAAAAATTGTAATTTTACAATGTAAAAAAATAAATGGGGGAAGGGAATATGATATTTTGAGGTATCAAAAATCTTCAAAGCATAAATCAGTACAGGGCATTCTATCAACATCTATTTCAAAACAAAAATATTCTTCAAAAATAAGAAATAATATAGATGCAACTACAGTTGCGGAAATGGTAAATACCTATCATGCAGTACAACATTCAGAGAGTTACTCAACATCTCAATGTTGGTAGAATCTTTCCCCATAATATTTAACGACTAATATAAATGAATAGAATATTTTGTAGAACACAAAATGAGCAAGGCTATCAACAATGTTTTAGGATATAAATCCAGAAGGTCAATTCTTGACGATTTGAAAGATGTGCAAACATATGCAATTCTAACAGATGCATCTAATAAGGAGATATCAAAACATTTCCCTTGATCCTCCCCTATTTCAACAAAATTAATGTCATTTTAATAAAACTATTAAAAAATTTTTCTCCAGATATGAAATATCCAAAGACATAGCTAACCATATATAATGGTAAATATGGCAGATTTGGCATTACCAATGAATTGCATGGTAGCTTTCTGATCTGATAATTCCTCAGTAAATTTGGCAAAAACCAGAGTGTATTTACAGAATTGAGTCAGCATAATGTTGGTTGACAGGTTCCTCCTAATACGCGCCATCTAAGAATTTTAAAATACAAACCTTTAAAAAATAAATAGATTATAAAAGCTGTCCTATTTGAAAATAATTTTCAAAAATAAATGGCAGAAGTATATTTAGGAATTTTACATATAGGAAATCTACTATATGCTGTTAATATGCAGTTGCAATCAGAAGAATATAATTTAATAAAGGCTCACTAAATTATGCTGCAGAAATACCAAAGTAAGAATATTACTATTATCGGATAATTATTAATAAGATTTAATATGATGTCATGTTTGAGGAGATTGTAATGCTTCTTTATTTTTATGATTTGCCAAAATATTCAAAATATTAATTTTACAATGTAAAAAATAAATTTATTTGATTTTATGCAAATGTATAAATAAGATTTTATAAAATATAGAAAGTCAAATAGTTATAGTTAATTATATTTTATATGAGATTTAAATAATGGAACTAAACGTTTTTCCGTCGTTATTAAGATATTAAAAATCCTGGCATGACATTTTATAATTTTGTTTAACCATTAACTCGGCCTCTTAGGATATCTTAAGCTTAGATTAAAGATGATTAGGATAATAATATTTTCTAAGATGAGTTCCACCTTCATTGCTAATTTTTAAAAATATTACTTCTAATATTAATAATATATTTTTTAATATATAATAGTACATAAGCAGTTTATATTGAAAATAATTTTTCTTTTTATATATTTAATTATAACATTTTATTGTCCAAAAAACAACATCAGTATTGAAAACTAGTGCTTTAACCTCAAAACAATCTAAATCTCACCTAGAAGATAACTATCATGGTATATATAAATAAAAATATTAAAAAAGCACTAGTTTCACATACTATTCTAACTTCAAATTTTGAAAATGTCGAATGGATTGGATTGGATGGAGAATTTAAAATTAGCGGAAAAATAAAATAAAAGAACTAGACATATTTTTCGAATAAATATTTAAAATTTATTTTAAAAATATAAAAATAATCAAATAATGTCTCTCAAAATTATTATTTATATATTAAAAACATTAAAATGCTAAAAAAAAATTGTGGGAGATTTTTGTGGGAGATTTCTAATTGTGGGAGTTTTGTGGGAGTGAGATGTATGTGGGTAAACTAAAAAATTGTGGGAGACTCCCACTGATGGGGGAGGCATGGCAACCCTGTTTGGATCCCTTCTTACTGGTTTATTAGATTTTAAGTTTGAAAACAATGTTATTAAGTGCAAACTTCAAGTTCATCCGTTTTCAAAATTAATTATTATTTTTTTATTAAAGTTACCGGGAACATCTACCCTTTTCTGGTTCTAGTTAGAAACATATTCATGCTTCTTGAACACACATGCCAAAAAGTACTGAGAGTTCCAAGCTGAGATAATCGTCTTTACGATAACCTTATTCTACCATTAATTCAAATTGAATCAAGCAAAAGCTTTTTGTGATGAGATTCTTTTTTTTTATAGTTAATATTTTCTGATTTTGAATATAATATGTGCTTAATAAAAAAAAGGTGAGATGGAATAAAATGAAAAGAAGAAAATAAAACAAAATGAAATAAAGAAAAGAAAAGAGAAAGGAAAAAAAATTGAAAAAAAAATTCCATATTTTATGTACCTATTTTATACTTGTCATAAATTCATTTAAAAAAAAATTTTTTTTTCGTGTTTATAAAAAATAAAATAAGTTGTAAAATATTGCGTACAATTTATATTTTTTTGTAACTCCCAGTTATTACAAGGCCATTTAATTTAATTTTTTTTTTGAATAATTTTAAAATAAAAATTATTATTTTAAATTTATTTTAGGTTCAAAAGTTATATAAAAACCTTTTTTTTCTACCAAAATATGTGTGCCGTGTAACACGTGTATATACTTACGCCAAATTATAAATGGATCCGGAAAAGAAGGAAAGGGGAGTATGGAAGAGCTCTCCATCAGATTTGTGCCCTGTAATACGTGTGTATACCTACGCCAAATTATAAATGGATCCGGAAAAGAAGGAAAGGGAAGTATGTAAGAGCTCTCCATCAGATTTGTGCCCTGTAACACGTGTGTATACCTACGCCAAATTATAAATGGTTCCTGAAAAGAAGGGAAGGGAAATATGGAATAGCCTATTTTTTTTTTCCCATACCGATCCTGGAAATTTTTTTTAGTTTGACAGAATGCTTCGATTACTATTTTTTTTTATTTCCAAGATTTGAGCTCTATCCGGGCACTCATACAGCTTTCATAGTGATCCGTCAATAATTCATCAAAAGTCAATCAATCTCATGATAAACAATATGATATAAATCGGCGGTTTTTTACAAAATGTATTTTTTTTCCCTTTCTCGATAAATCATTGCTTCATTACTATATTTTCTTCCATATCGACAATAAAAAAATAGAATCTAATTTTTGTATGAGTCGGTGAGAATTTTGTCCGAATCCGGCCTGACCGCCCCCTTCCAGCTGATAATTATAATTCGCAACGAACAGTAGGGTAGCGTGAGGCACTCAAACAAAAATAAAATAATTAAATTCACAAACTTTCGAAACTTTAATGAAAATAAATAAATAAGCTATTTTAAATATAAAAATGAAAAACGTGTCCAAAACTTAATTTTTAGAATTTTTTTTATAAATTTCATAAATATAACATAGGATTTTAATTAAAAGGGGTAGGGGGGGGGGGCTAAAATATATTGACCAAAATTCGTGAAGAATTTTAGAAAGGAATAGCCATTAATTTTTTAATGTTAACCTGACTCTGAATATATTTATTATTAATTTATTATTTAATTTATTATTTATGTTAAATAATGAAATAATACTTATTTTTTTATATTTGAAATTTTATAAAAAAAATATACATACTACAAGTCAAAAACAAATTTTTGTTTTGGAAACCATTTTTGTTTTTTTTTTGCTGGGTTACTTTTTCCCTCCTATTTTTATGGGAATTTGAGATGGCTTATTTTACTCTATTAAAAACTAGTGTTGTTATACGGCTCATTCTGAGCCGATTTTTAAAAAGAGCTAACTCAACATTATAGCCAGGAAATTATTGCCTAAGCGTCGAGATTTAGCCAATAGATGTTCAATCCTATGTGCCATCTAAGAGCAAAATCTTTAGGCTTGCATAATATTTTTTCTGGATAAAATATTGAGTTAGCCGTTTACAACACCATAAAAACTTTCGAAAATCTACCATAAACCAGGGAGTAAAATATTTTTTTTTTAAAAAATCACACATTGAAGAAAAAATAATTGAAGTAATTTAGTGCGAAACAAAAATAGGAAAAAAAAGGTAAAAAGAAAAATATTTATTTAAGAAATATAAAGAATGTGACCCCCTAACCGTTTCAAATAAACTTTGTAAAAATAGATCCGATTAAGATTTAAACCAGAATTATTATGTAGGCCTCGAGATTTGGCAAATAGAAGGTCCAAACATTTCTAGCCATCTATAAGCATTTCAGGCTTACATAATATCATTTTGGTTAAAAATTAAAAATCGTCTAAAATCGGGCGCTTTAACAACACTAGGAATAATGAATGAAATAAAATTAAGTTTGATATTTTGGTAAGAAAAGAATTTAAATTTTTAAAATTTATTAAATACATTTATTTCTCTTTTAAAAAAAAATAAAATAAAATAATTTTATTTTAAATTTATTACCAAAAAAAAATTTAATTATTTTTATAGGTGTTGGACGAAGCGATAGCGGCCCTCCTCTATAACACTATCACTCTTAGGAGGGAAGATTTGCAGAAATTCAAAGCCCTGAAACTCATAGTTAAAATCGGGATGGATGTGGATAACATTGACGTTAAATCGGCCGGAGAGTTAGGTTATATACTTACAAATTATCCGAATCGAATAATTCGATATTCGTTGTTGTGCAAATAAAAAAAGTATCATTCGATTTGATTCGTCGGTTATTCGGTTCGAAAATTAAATTCTTTAAAAAAATGCGTTTTCAAAAATGGGGAAAAAAATGGATTATTTAAAATTTAAAAAAGGGATATATAGATGGGGGGGGGGGTTGGAGAGTGGGGTTGAGAAGGTATAAAAAAATAAAAATTTTCGAAAGGAACACGTTAAATACTTAAGAATAATTTCAAATATTTTTGAATAATGCCTAATATTTGTGAATTTTAGCCGAGATGATAGGTAAATCATTAAACGTATGCCCCCTCCCCATCATTTTTGACTGTAAATATGAAATTTTTGAGCGGAGCGGTATTAGTATCACGTGACGCGGAACACGTCTGAAATGAAGAGCGCTCCAGGGGCTGATCTATATAATCATTGACGCACACAAAATTAAATAGGCCGATAAATTTGAAATTAAATTATAATAATTCTAAAAGTTATTTTTTTTAAAAAACAACTTTGGCATACCTTTTTTTTATAACGCACGCCGATTATTCAGGTATAGCCGTTTGCCATCTCCCCTCGGCCTTTTGCGTGGAAGAAGTGGCGGATTCAACCCTAGCCATGATACTCGAACTCTATAGGAGACCTACCTACTTCATGTTGTCCACTTTTCCACTCCCACCAACACTAAATAACGGTAATAATGGTAGCTATAATAACAACAACAACCATAATCAACAAATTAATAATGGTGGGCCACCATTTAACGGCGATGCCACGGGTAATATAACTAACGGGGGACTTATAAACCCGATCGGTCCGGTCAAGAGCTTTCATTACATGTCGCCGGGACTCAACGAATCATCAGGAAATGGCGGTAACGTTATCGGGAATGCGATGAGTTGTCCGAGAATAAGGGGGGACACTCTGGGGATAGTGGGATTAGGTTTTTGATATTTATTAATAAAATATACGTTTTATAATTTTTTTAAAAACAATAATTTATATTCTTGATTGGGAAAGTAAAGTTGCGTCCTAACTGGAGCGATTCTAGCATTTATCGCAATGTTAGAATGAGCCTTTTTGAAATTTAACATTGAACGCTCAATTAGAACTCTAAAATTGGGACATAGCCTGCGTTATTTAACACTATCGAAATCACAGCTGATTCTTCATAGCGTTAACGCATTGAGCCTTTTTTAGAAATAAAGCAAACATTGGAACCTTATCATCATCATTCCATATTTATAAATTATACCTATTTATTGGCTTAATTTTGTAAATAACCATAGCTGAATATAGCACTTTTCTAAGAAAAATTGAAAAAATAGACCGAAAGAAAAAAAAAAGTAAAAATTTTTTTTGATCTGTAAAATTAAAAGCTGAATATTATTATTTTATGGAGAAAATAAGAAGAAATAATCTAAATTTTTAATGTTTATCCATAGGCAAGATAGGCCAAGCGGTGGCCTTGAGGGCTAAAACATTTGGGTTTAACGTGGTGTTTTACGATCCGCACCTATCCAACGGAGCTGAGAAGGGTCTAGGTCTGGTTCGAGTTGGCACTCTGGCAGAATTGTTGTTTCGGAGTGATTGTCTCTCCCTTCATTGCCCCCTTAATTCGACTAACCTCAACGAAGTTAATGAAGGTTGGTATAATAAATTAATAATATTTTACAATCAATCAAATTAATATGAACCTATTTTAAAATACTTCTGTCTTAAAAATTAATATCAATTTATCGCGTGGAAATTTTTAAAGCAAATACTTAATTATTACATTTTTGTGTTATTGTTATATCCCATCATCAACCACGAAACAGACATCAATCAATCATATGGAGACGCTATAGATTTATCGGGGGATTGCAATACTAATAAACACGTGATCAACGAACAGACGATTAAACAAATGAGACCGGGTAAATATATTTGTATTTTGATTCTTTCATCTATAAGATATAATATTTAATGGTTAATAAATTAAATATATCATTAATGTTATAAGGTTTAAAATTTGAATTTATAATATCTATCATCCAATAAAAACGTTTTATAATTGTGGGCATTCCTGATTTGGGGGTGGGGCTAGAATCTAACATGGGAAATGATAGATTATTTAAAAAAATTATCACAACTTGAATCACATCCTACTATCATGTTCTATCTGATGAAATCCTAGTACACTTCTTCCAGGCGTGTACGCAGGTCTGGGGGGGGGGATAATAAAATTTTTTAAGAAATATTATTGTTTTTTAAAAATATCAAGCATAAATTTATTAGGACTAGTAACTATTTCTAATACACAATTTTAAATTAATGTGAATTATAAAAAAATTATATGTAAAGAATCACTTAAATGACCCAAAATAGAAATTTGAATTTTTTGAGCTTTAAAATTTATATATAAAGTATAAAAAATTTAAATGTTAGAAATATAAATTAATACACAAAAAGCTTAGGGAATAATTGTATTTTGTATGTTATATATTTACAATGTAAAATCCAATCTTCGCTGGGATTGAGCTAATTTTTCAATTATCTCATCCTTGCTTGTTGTCAAATGCCTATGAATATTCAAAAGATCCAAACCTTTCAATCTACTTTCAAAAGTTGTACTTCTTGGTATGTTTTTCAGAGACCTGCACCGAAATTTTTTAAAAAAACACCCAGGCTCAGCCTGAATTTAAAAAAAAACATCTAGGCCAGGCCTGAAAATTTTTTTAAAAAAAATATCCGGACCGGACTGTATATTTTAAAATAGCCTATATTTGAAATCGTTATTATTAGCTATAAAAATCAAAAATAAATATAATTTATTTTAAAAAAATCCGGGTCGGGCCTGAAAATTTTATTTAAAAAAAGGCCGGGCCGGGCCTGAAAATTGAGATTAGCCGTAAAAATCTTTAAAAAAATCCGGGTCGTGCCCTGCAAATGGTACCTCTGCAGGGCTCTGTTATTCTTCTTAAAAAAGAGAATGTTCTCTCATTAGTTTACTATTGGGAAGAGTTGCTAATATATATCAACCCTTTTAATACATTGGGAATATAATCTAAAATGTGTTTGAAATAATGCAGAGCATCCATAGCATTTTTTGGGACTGTATCAACCATTGTTAATCTTATAAACATAGTCAGCTAATAAGGCATCATAAGATACTTTAACACCTTCATGATAAAAATCCAACAAATATTTTTTTTTCTATCACCATCTGAAAAAGGTTGGGAAGGCTTTTATGGAAATAATATTTGCAGATTGGTAAATGCTGCATAATGAATTAAAAACCACATTTATTTGGTTTATAAATGTATTTGTATATAAGATATACTCTTCTACTGATCCTATATTAATATTTTAACTTTGAGCTTGCCTTGCTGCAAGTCGAGTGAGACAAATATTAAACACGTATAGCTCTGCTTTTGACTTAACAATAACATATAAAATATGAAATTCTTCATAAACATTAGCCCTAATTTCCTTGAATTCTAATAAAATGCTCTCCGCTATTCTCATCTTCTTAATCAAATCATCATGTTTTTGAAAAGTAATACATAAAATAGTTGTACAATCTAATGAGAAAAAAATTTGGAATAAGCATTGAATCCAATAATTTTCTTGCTTCTAAGGAAAAATTTCTTTCAGGCCATTGTGATATGTCAGTACAAGCAAATCGGCTCTTCTAACTCCTTAAAAGCTGTTACTGCTTGATGGCGGAGACTCTATCTCGTAGGACAAGGTTGCAATTTCTTTCTCCCTGTTGGACAATTTCAGAATAATTATTATATGACTAGAAATTTAAAAATGGTAGATAAATATTACGCCACTAAAAATTTGAAAATAATAAGATAATATTACGCCGGAAAACTTGAAATCGAAATTAATTGATTAACTTAGTGATGAATGTGTTAATAAATGTAATTAAATGTATATATGAGGTAGGAATAAATATTAACAAATATAAATTAATATAGTACTGTGTAAATTTAATTCAAAATATTTCCATATTTATTAATTTATTTGAAAATAAAATTATTTGACTTGTAAAAAGTGGTTAAAATAACATATTTATATATTCTTATCAATTTTTACAAGTTAAAATTTTTATTTACAAACGAATTAAAAAATATGGAAATGTTTTAAATTAAATCTGAACAACATTCTAAACAAAAATATTTTTGAAAAATATATCCGGCTTTGGGGGGGGGGATTTGTCCCCCTGCTTCCCCCTCTGCGTACGCCAATGACTTTTTCTAATCATACATCGTATTCCTCTTCCTCCCACAAATCTTACCCTGTATACAAAATACGCTGCATTTTTGTATTCCACCGCAAATTTGCGTTACCTGTTAATCCACGAATTCACAGTGAAGTACAGGGATCCGAACCTGAACCGTTAAACCGTTTAAAACCGGTATTTTTTATCGAACCTGAACCGAACCTAAACCGCTAAAAAAATTCCAGCCGAACCTAAACCGAACCGCTAAAATGCCTCTGAACCGGTTATAGTCTCATGATTTTTTGCTTATAAAATAATATATAAGTTATTAGATTTCAATTATATTCGAATTATTTTAAAGATTATAATATCATCAATCACATTTGATTGATTAGTATCGGTCATAATTTTTATATAGTATTTTGTTATTTTACAACATTTTTTAAATATTTTAAGCTTATAAATTATAATGCTTAGAGAAAAATTAAATCCAAAATATTATTATAAATGACACGTAAAATCTGATATCATATTGGCAGTGCCGACTACCCAAGTTAGTGTGGAAAGATGTTTTTTAACAATTAAATTTATATTATCTCCTTATAGATGATGTAATTTGAGCGAGACGAATATTGAAAATATATTAATTGTGCGGCTTAATAATAAAAATTTAAGTAAAAAAAGGAAAATATTGTTCATATTAAAATTAATCATTGATATATATTTTTATATTTATAAATTAAATATTATTTTATAATATGCAATTAATAAAAATGAAGGTTTTATATATGTGTTTTTTAAATGAATGATTAGATGAAAAATATTTTATACATAATTCGAATGTAGGTTTGAATACAAAAGTGTTCAAACCGGTTTTTAGAGGTTCGAAACGAACCGATGTTTTAATTTTTTACGAACTGAACCTGAACTTTGAATCGTTATTTTTATTTGAACCTGAACCCGAACCGATATTCGTTTCGGTTTGGATCCCTGGTGAAATATATAAAATATGCTGTATTTTTGTGGATTTTTATACACTTCTCCGCGAATTCACGCTAACTGTTAATAGTAGGGTTAAGCGCTTTAAAAATATTGAATATTATTTAGATATCATAGTTCCTTTTTTTGAATAAAAATACTTTTCTTTTTGCTAATGCTGAAAAATATATCCCCCCCCCCTCCCCATAATATTATAAAAGGCGAGAAATTGCTACTGATGAATAAAAAATATTCCAAAATTATTTTATTAAAATACGAAATTTTCCAAACTAACAACAGGGGCATTTTTAGTTAACACATCTCATCATGGCCTGATAGAAGAAAATGCATTGATTCAAGCTCTGAAAACTGGGAGGATTAAAGGGGCCGCTATCGATATTCCTCAATCCATTCTCGAATCTTCAGGTTAAGACTTAATTATTTTTTTTTATTTTAGGTTTTTTATCTATTTTCGAGGATTACCAAATTCAAAAAGTTTGGCAAACTTAGATAAATCTTACGATATTTAGAATCTACAAAGATAATTTATGATAAATACTGTAAAATTTTAAATCAATCCATTGTTAAAACGATATTTATCCTATTCACCCTGACGCCATATTTCTAAATTTACCCATTTCACTTCATTTGCCTTACATAGCAACTTTATTGCATAGTTTTTAAAAGTATACTATATACAAAAGCAGTATATGAACCTATATCAGTCTATGCCAAATGGGAATGCTATTTACTCGGACTGGCCCGTACTTCATTTTTTATTTTAAAAATATATTTTATTTATTTAATAGATTTTTCTTTTTAGGAACTCGTAAATTTTTTTCAAGAATTATTAATGAAATATTTGATAAATTATAAAAAGCTTTTCGTTTTACCATAATATTATGGCATGATATTATTAATCGATACATTAATTTTTTTATTTATATTGTCCAGATCTTTTTTGCTCTAATAAACCCGAATTAAGGTTCAGGAATTTAAAACTCGCGGAAATTTTGATGAGAGGAACTTAATCGAAACCCATATTTTGAAAGAGGTCTGAACCCGCCCCGGATCCATATTATCCCGGGTTAGATGGGGTTGCTCATAAATCGGTCTCTGTTCAGTCTGGGGTCTAAATATGTTCTGCCAAACAATTTTAAATATCTGAACCCTAAGGTTCACAAGCCATGGTTAATATATTTGTAAATTGTTTTCAAAGGGAAACTAAAAATATGAACTCTAGTTACTCCAATATTTAAAATGTTTCTTAATATTAACATAATTTAACATTTTAAAAAATAATCAGCGGTTTTGTAAAATAAAATTCTTTTTTTTTTTGCCATACGAGGGGTAATGTTATTAAACGGCTCGATTTGAGCGCCGATTTTTAAAACCGGCAAATTGAATATTACCCTAAGCCTCGAGATTTAACTAATGGATATCCAATGTGCCACCTACGAGCAAACTCTGCAGGCTAACATTTTTTTTTCTGGGCAAAATAATCGAGTTAGTCGTTTTTTAAAAAATCGGCTCAAATCGAACCTTTTGACAACACCGTTGTTTAAACTTTCTTTTATTTAAATTCCTCAATTATACCTTCATAGTAATAAAATTAGATTCTCGCTATTATCTGTAAGGAGGGTTTCTTCTCCTTTTCCCGAATTGACAATGTTGGTTTAGATATAATAATGATCAAAATGTATGATTATGAGATTTTTCTTTTCGGATTTTATGAATAGTTTCTTTCTTTCTACTTTTCTTTTTCTAGAATGGGGTTACGCCAAATGGATATTAATAATCAAATGCTCGTTTCTTAGAAAAATATGGGAAAAGTAATTTAGAAGCACTCTCAATTGTTGGGTTTGTGAATTATTATTTTTTTTAAGCTCGAAACAAAGATTTTTTTGTCCTTTTCTAGTAAAATAAATTAAAATTTCTCCGGAATTAGGACGAAGCGTGAGCAATTAGTGATTTTTTTTAAAAATTTTGTTTTAACTTTACAAAAATTGTTTTAAAATAAATTCGAAAGTTTTAAAACTTTCAAAAATTTTAAAATTTTTAATGAAATTTGAATGTTAATTTTTTTTTGTTGAAATTTTATAGAAATATATTTTGGAAATATTTTTATATTTTTTTTAAAAAAGAAGCTTATTTCTTCTTTTTCGATAAAAAAAAGATTTGCGAATTTTTTGATATTTTGGACCTAGCTGAATGTATGTTTTTCAATTTAAAGTTTTTGGATCGGGTTATCTTAAAAAATATTTACATGGCTCCACTGCAGGGAAAATTGATTGTGATCCATTTTCCCCATTTTTTTTCCTTTTGACAATTGACCATTTTTTAAACCTATCCAATTCAACCTATAAAGAACAACACACCCAGTAATAATTTCGTAATCATGTCATTACCTCGAAAGCATTTTTTCTCATGAGGAAATACAATATCGAACCACCAAAACACATTTTCGTGAATATTAGGAAGCCGAGTTTTCCATCGTGAAATCAGACGGATAAATTAAGTCGGTATTATGACAAGGTCTTCTATCATATCATGTATAGTTAACATCAACGGTTTGGTCTTATCTATCTTAGATCTGGATCGGATTGATTTATGGATCGATCTTTTTTAAGGACAACAGTCCGGACCGGTCTTTTATTATTATATAGGTTTGCTTTATTATTCAATGAATATTATTTTTTTAAAATATTATTATTCTATGTTATTTTTATAGAGGAGTTATTTTAGTTTTTGTGAATTTTTGGTCCTTAATTATTTTGCAATATGAAAATCATAAGTTTGTCAAGGAAGCATTTTACTTATAGTCCTAATAAACAGGGATTAAATTAAGTATTTAAAGATATCGGTCTTTTTATTTAGGAGCACAGTCTGGTCCAATCCTAGTGCATCGATCCGGACCAAAGACCAGACAGTGACCTCACTTATCGTTTAAAAATAAGTAAGAAAAAAATATTATTCAAACAATCTCTCGAGTATTAAGTTGATATTTATATTCTATATATATATATTTATACATTAAATTAGCAAATATAAAAAATATTTTTAAAAAATTAGTGCCTTTGTATCTATGCTGACCCCTAAGCATAAATTTTTTTTAAATATCTAGCATTAATTCTAAAAATCCTTTATAATATTTTTAATTTTCCGATCAATTTAGCATTGAAGTCGGCACCAAACTTAATAGCGACCCCTCGTACAGCATGGTTCAGCGACGCTAGCCTGAGGGAAATGAGGGAGGAATGCGCTAGAGAAGTCAGAAGGGCTCTCCTCGTTTTTCTCTCCCCTTCCTCCCCCCTTACCCCATGTTCCTCCATCTCGCAATTGAATCATTCTTTCGGTACTACCGTTCCATGCTTCCTTAAAGAACTCAAGAATTGCTGTAACGCGGCCCAACTTCTTTCCAAACAAACTACAGTGCCCAACGCTTCCTTCGCTAATAACAATGTCCCCTCTCTTCCTAAAAAGTTAACACAACAACCGCACCCATTACTTTTTCCACCTTTTGTCAACCCTCACCCGGTTCCCCCTCCTCAACGAACCCAACATCAACAGCACTTGATACATCACCCTCAGCAGATGATGGGCACCCACCACCCATCTATGTACTTCAACGGAACCGTCGACTCTTCTAGCTCCCCTCCTGGGCCTCATCCTTCACCCTTCCTTTTCCATCACCCACTTTCAATTCCCCCCTTGCCACCTATACCATCTTCGACCCATCACCCGAGAAAAAAGATGACAGATAACTTTGCTTCATCCTATTCAAACTTTCCTCCTTCAAACTTGGGCTTGATTTCCAATTCGGGTCTAGATAATTCTTCCTCCGGCCCATTCCTTTCCCGGTCCAAGCTCAAAAAATTTAGAGGTGGTGAAATATTCTCACCTACGAACCCGACCAATAATCATCCTACCAACAATAATAATACCAATAGCTCTATCATTTTAGCTAATAATATGAATTGTGATAGGTACGATGGTACAACACACGTATTGAATAACGCCAACTCCTCTAACAATCTAGCTAGCAATAATAGTAATAATAATAATGTAAGCGTAATAAATACGAGCCTTTTGCATGATAAAATTTACGCTTCAGAAGGGCGTCACTCAAACGATAACTCTGTAAATAATTTGACCATGGCCGCTGAAACGTTTGATGATAAGCTCAACAATATGAATCATTTCAACAACGTTTTTCGGGCTAACCACTCTAATTTCAGTCTCAACCACCCCCACGGAATCAATATGATGTATGACAATAATTTCAAAAATAGTATCAGGAGCGAAGAAAACATCGTCAAAAATGAATTCGACGAGGGGTCCACCAACACCAATTCTAACGTTAACATCGAAAGCAGTACAAAATTCAGCGACGAAAATATGTCTCAAATTAATTTCAATGCTGTAGCAAACGTTTCTAATCCCAGTAACCCGAATAACACGATTGATGCTAGCTTAGCGGATACGGAAAATTATGTAAACGAAAATAATTTGAGACAGCATCAACTCAACGATAAAAATGATAGTTTCATTAATAATGCCGCTGCCATCAGTGTAAACACCGAAAATGGCGTGAATATCAATCCATCTTCGGCAGAAGGTGCCAATAGGAACGAAGATAATCACAGTAGAGGTTCTGGGTGAAAACGGCATAGCTTCCTAATTTTAATTTGGACCAGCCTCATTTGAATGTCATGTTTGTTAATGATTATATTTTTTTCCCCCATTATATACATAATACATATTTATTTATTTTTTTAAAAAAATAAATTAAAATCAATCTTCGAATTTTCTAATTTTTAGGTGTATACTATAGTTTTTATTTCACCCCGCCTCCTCCACTATCTTAACCTGCCAATCATTTTTATAAATATTAAAAAAAATATATATAGACAAAAAGTATTTTACAGTATTTTGGCAAACAAAACACTATTTTATTTTTTTTACCACAGCTAAAAAGTTATCCTTAGCCCCTTAGCCAAAGAAACATTAAGAATAAAACAGTTTTCAACTACAAAAAATCATGTAAATATATTTTTGTGTTTTTTTTAAACAAAAATTAACTCGATAAATTTTTTTAAATATTTTTTTTTACACATACACGATTCGAAGAACATGATAAGGCTAAATATGATCGGAGGATACAGGCGCACCAATTACATATATACTATTTTCGAAACTTAATAAATGTTTTATTATGGAACTATATTAAAAAAAATTTGTGATAAATTTTAATCCCTTTATAAAAAAAAATGAAGAATAAACGTATTTAAAATCATAGTTTATTATATATATATCGATTTGATTGATAAATAGTAGATTTACAAAAGGAATATATTGTAATAATTATTTTATAAATATTACTGTGTAGAAGAAATTAGAATTTTTCTTTTTTAAATATAAATTACCTTCACAATTATCGAATTTTTTTTTTAAAAAAATTTTTTTTATTTATTAAATATTTTTATTTTTTTTTACAAAAAATGTTGAATAATTATGATCAAAAAAAAATTATTTCTTTAATACATTTACTTTTTCTTAGCAAAAATTTGTTCAACTATAGTTTATACGATATTTGTATTTCTTAATTGGGGCTACAAACTATACCTTTTTTACTTTACTTTACACACAACACATTAGGGATGTACTGATTTCGACATATTTTAATAATTTACAAATGATGAGAATGTATCATTTATATATAAATAAATATAATCTTTTTATTAATAAAATATATTTTTTTTATATATTATACATTTGTTCTCTAATTATTTTATCACTTTTTTACAAGTATTTTAATAATAAATTCTCTTATAAAATTTATAATCATTTATGTATCGGGGATGAATGAAAAGGCTGTGCTGGGACTTTTTGGCGGCCGGGGACTGAAATGAATTTGGCAGTCCTTTAGATCCCATGTTAAAAAATGGGATTCGGGAATAAGGAGCTTAAAATATAAATTCGGCACTATTTATACAATAATCATATTGTGAATGAATTTAAGGAACAAAATCTGGCGGAACCTAAAAGAGTATTTTTGTGGATCCAGGGCGGGCTGCTGCCACGAGACTTCCCCTATTTCCACGGGCCTGGCACTGAATTCCATCTAATATTGGAAGGTCTCCCTTTTCAGAAGGTGATAGGAATTAAAAATTATTAAATAATAAACACATATTATTTATTAATCATAATAAATACGTATAACTTTTTTTTAAAAATCAAATAATTCCCATATTATGACATTCAATTAAGACAAAATTAGCGAATAAATGTAATATCAACAATTTATTTAATTTTAATGAAAATGATATCGATGTTGATTATTGGAATTTAAAGATATTTGTCATCAAATTGTTTTGTTTTTTTAAAAAAAATACTAAAATTTTTATAAAATTTTTAATTTAAAATAATAAATACATCTGATTTTAATCCAAAAACAATTACAACAAACATAAAATTTATAAAATAATATTAAAACTAGGATATGCAAATTTAAACAAAATTAGCGAACAAATGTAGTAACAACTTAGGTAGAGGAAATGTATTTCGGAAACGAAACTTAATTATTTATTGATTTCAATTGAAATGACATCAACGTTGAGTCTTGAAACTGCATCCTGAACTAATTATTGCTATATTTTAAGTCGTTTTCGCGAATCTTTCGCTGGCTAAAAAAAAATTATACCTAGTTTTTGGCCAAAAACTATTCTTTCTCTTACTAACATTTTTTTGAAAACGATAACCTAGAATATTATGAGTCGTGACCCATTGGGACCTTGAATAATTTTATCGACGCAAGTGGGAGATAAATTTACTGTCTAAACTTCAAATGATAATTATGAATACAATTTCAGTTATAATTCTCTTTTTTAAAAAAATGATAACAATTTTGAAAACAAAGGTAGGTACAAACTGGCCAATAAATAGGAGATTTAAACGGTAATAAAATTGGGACCATTAAAAATTTGTCACTCCAAACCTAAACTTCTGAAAAGGTATATGAAAGGGTTAAAAGTTCAAACCCTTTCATACCTTTTATATCTCAACTATTTTAAAGATTGTTAATTAATATCGAATATTAGTAAATTTTATATAAATGTTTTTATGTAATTGCTGTTGGTAAGCGAAAAATAATTCCCCAAAAATGAATTCCGCATTTTTCATTTTAAAAAATATAAAATGGAAATTAATTCCCTAGGTAAAAAAAATTCTCTTAATTTTTTTTTTAAAATATCAAAAAAATAAATTCGTCAAATTCTACTAAAAATCCCAAATATTTTTTATAAAAGTTATATAAATATATAATTAGCAATTTCTTTACATAAATCTTTCAAGTTGAAATCACAATTTATATTAAAAATTAATCCTCAAAGATTTTTGCTCAAAAATTTTCTTTTGACACTCGATAAAGTTTTAAATTTAACGAACCACTAAGACAACTAAACTTTTATCACAAAATATATTTTTCGCGAAATTTTTATCGCGAATGTTTATCAAAGCAAATTGATTGCATAGATAAATGTCGCGAATCCCACGTTCGCATGCTATTCAACGAAGACCATATCGAGAATTTTTTCTAGACGAACTTTTACCGAGATCTCTTTAGAAGCTAATACATAAGCGAAACTTTTACAGACAATTTATAATAACGAGTGAAAATCTTAAGGAGAAGGCAAAACCAAATACACAATTTAGCGAACTATTTTGCACGAAAGCAATACCGCGATAATTGTTAATAGTGACTATTTTCATAAAAATTATTTTATACTTTCATATATTTTTTCTGGGCAATTTATCTTTTAAACTGATTATCCGTTTTCTGGGAAATTCCGGTTTATATCTGAGCATCAAGAAATAATTCTGGATATTCAATATTTTTTCTAAGCTTTGAATATTCTCAACGTTTGAGGGGTGTTTTAGCTTTAATGCTGAGCGATTAAAGAGGTTATTAAAATGGGAGACTCGATAACTATGGTGGTATCTTTGATATCTTATAATTAAGCAGCGATAGCATAAAAAATATTCAAATAGATTTTTGGAAAGAAAATATGGCACCGAGTTAGGCTGGAGTGGCTCCGATAAAAGTTAAATGATTATAATAGATAATTTTTTTACAATTATCAAATAAAAAATTATATGGATAACTTATTTTATAAATAGGTATTGAGAATATGACGAGTAAATTTATCAAACAATCCTTATTATTTTCCAACTAATTGAAAAAATAAATCGTTTTACCATTTATTTTTGAAGGAATTATGAAAATCCTCAATTAAAATCTCCCAATTGGATATTTTAAATAAAACGTCTTGGAAATGAAAAATTTGTAAAAATGAATATTTTTTAAAAGAAAATATGAAAGCTTATATTTTTTTTTATAAAATTTCCTCCATGCAACCCAATCCAGAGCACTTTCGGCAGCTAGAAATTACGGCATTATTGATTGGGAAGCATTGGCTATAATGTTTCACAATCTAGAATTTGCTTAATATTACAGAAACTAAGGAGGTATGATAAAGTTAAGCGTTAGCTTATTTTAAAAATAATTTTTTTGTTTAAATTTCACGAAAATCAGGTTCGGTATAAGACCATAACGTTAAACATTATATGGTTTTGAGTTATTTGATAATATTTTAATTAAGTTAAGTTTAACATTAACTACTTTTTATTGTTTTATAAGTTAGAAATTTTATTTGGGAACAGGTATATAATTTCCAGGAAATTTTTTTATTTTGTCAATTTCTCATAATTTTTAAATATTTAATTTGGGTAATTTTTTTGGAGAATTATTTTCCTTAGACTATTTTCCCGAGGAATGATTTTCCTATCATTGTTATTTGATGATACCCAGCTACCAAAATTAGCGTATATATAGAAATGTTCTCAACCATAAAATTTATTCTTTCTCCTCGTGGATATAATTTGACGAGAAAATATTTGAATATATTGAATAAATTTTTTTAAAAAAAGGTTTCTCCTTGCATGATTCCAATAAGTTGATAAACGAAAAAGTTCAAATCGGACCTATATTATTGTTTTTTTATTAACCGAACGTAAACCAATAACCGTTATTTTTATCTGAACTTCAATCGATCTTGGGACGGTTGAAATTTTTTTTAAATAGGTTTAAGTTATTATGTTATTTTATAAAATTCGTTGAATTTATATTTAGACATATTTCATATATATATTAGGGAACCCAGAACACAGGCATTTTTGTGTTTCCTATTCCGTTCAAAAAAAATATAACAATTTCCGTTCTTAAAAAAATATATTCATTTCCCAAAAAATTATCGAATTATATTTATATTATAAGGATTAATATAATATACAATTTATATTCGGGACTAGACGAAATTTTTTTTAAAACAAAAATATCCGGGCTGAGTTTGCAGATATGGTACCTCTGCCCCATATTAATAAATTATACTCTTGTTTTTGTAGATAATGCAGCGTTAAATACGACATCGCATCGCCTGAACAAAACGCCTTTACACTAAATGAGGTAGGTGTAAGACAAAAAAAAAGGACACTAACAAATCTGAGAAAAGATTTTGCAGACATTTCAAAATAAAAAAAATATGCTCTTATAAATCTAAAATTTTAGTCCAACAATAATTTGTTATATTACAGTAAAACAAATCTTTTAATAATATCTCAAACTATAGGAATCTTCATTAATAGGAAATTTTTTAATTGGGTGAAATATATTTATAACTAAAACAGGTAGCTGGAGAAAGGAGTTAGATTAAAGATTTAGACAGACTTTTCAGCCTGAGCTTGATCTAAATTTTTTTTTAAAGTTAAGGTGCCAGTCTGGTTTCGGGCTGGCTTACCAACTAAGAATTTTTGCTTAAGAGGGCACAATTTTGGAAATAACATATTTAAATTATCATTCCTCACTCGATGGACTTCATTTTATTCAGTTAGGATAGAGCTTCCCCCTCCCCTAATTATAAAGGCAAAAAAGCTATTATTGAAAATAAACACTATTATTTACTTGTCGCCCTGATTGTTATAGCTGCTAATGCCAAATAACTAATTGAGTAAATTAAATAATATTAATCATAATTTATTACGCAACATTAAACCTAATTTATGTAATGTTCAGGCTAATTTTTTTATAAATATTATTCATTCCAACTTCACCTTTTATAGTTGCATGAAAATGGCAAAAATTGACAAAATCTGCAATATTTTGCCTGGAGGAAATGGGGAAGGGGGGAGGTGCAAAATTTGATGGGATGGCCGAGTTCCCATTAGTTATGATCCTGGGGTTAGGGTTATAAGATACGTACGGCTAATTTCAATATATATCGTAGCTTAGAATTAGATCATTCCATCTCCACTTTATGCAATGTTACAAGTTAATTTTAAAAATTAAAGTTTCTATTGTTTTCACTAAGATGGCTAACCTTATATTAGCTAAAAGTTGACTTATTTTATAAATATTTCGGAATTTTTTCGGTAGAATAGTATAATTATAAAAATATTCATTTTTTTTGACAAAAAAATGGATATGGAATAACCTAATTTTCAGGAGACGATATGTAAAAAAATTTTTAAAATTGCATGAAAGTAATAAGAATAAAATTCTACATAATAAACTATAATGATAGTGTCTAATCAATTTTTTAACATAATTTAGGATATAAAGATTCCGGTAATAATTAAAATTCATTAATACATCTTTTCAATAATTTTGGTGGGTAATATATTTCTATAAATTATTATTCCAAATAAAAACATGATTGAGAGAGACATCAGAAATATATTGATGTAATAGATGTTGAGGATTAAGTTTTCGTCAGGCCCGTGACACATTTTTACCAAATAGCTCTGGGAGTTGCTTGATAGCTAAATTTAATATAAATAAGTATGTAATAAATAAGCGCTTTGATATCAAAAGATAATATAAATAATTAAATTGTTTATCTCTTCAGTATCCTATTACGCAATTATCAGTATATTTTTTTCGGTTTAATAACAAAATTTCCAGTATTTTATTAATTTTATAATAAATAATATGTCAGCACCTTCGGTTACGTACCAGTAAAAAAAATTAGGTAGATATATCTTTTTAGCGATATTTTAATAGATCTACCCAGTAAATATATTCTTTTCCGCCATTATGTTAAGTATAATACTAGTAGAGGTTCGCAATGACCCGGCTCGGATGGGATGCGTCTAGAAAAATCTATATTTGGTTAGGGCTGAGCAAAATTTTTTTTATTGGGGTCGTTTATTTCTGATATTTGATAGAAAGGATAATATACAAAGTATATGATTTTTAATTTGCTGTTCAAACAAGCATATATTTGGAATTAGACATAGCATTAAAAAAATATGGGGTCAAACTAGGCGGGCTATGCCGCCTATATTTTTTAAAAAAAAGATTGTTCAACTTGATATATGTCCAAGGGAAATAGTAAATCCAAAATAATTCACCATTTAACCTCCATCAAGCAAAATTATGATCAAAATTATTTTAGGTATATCCTAATTTAGGATAAAAATTAAAGATTGACGCCCAACCCAAACAAATTGTGCAAAACATTTTTACAGGCTGGGAAATGTTTTTACAGCTGATAAATAGGCAAATTGATGTCGTTTTCCAATATAGAAAATAATTAAGTACTTGGCCGAATAACTTGTACAAAATATATATTTTGAGCCAGATCTTGGTAAATATAATTATAGGCCATATTAAAAAATTTCATAGTCCTGCAGCTAATCTTTAATTGAAGTAATAAATAAATATTGGAACTGGTTGCTAAATTTAAAAAGTAGCCCAGAGCATGTATAATTTCTTAATCATTATAAAAAATTTACAATAAACTTAAATATTATATATCTTTAATGTAATATTTTATGCAAATTTTTGTTTAGAATGATCAATAGTGCTATTGTAATTTATATATTTTTTGATATAAAATTTAACAATTTTGATAATATTTAAAAAAATATATTATTGAGAGGGATCTAATTTTATATTTCATTGTGAATCAGGGCAGGTTTCTGCTTTATTGGTTCAAGAAGGGAGTTGTGAGGGTCCTGACCTGTCCAGCCCAACAGATTAGTTTCATAAATTTTAGTCATATGGAGGGGATAAATTTCTAACTATTAGCATCAAAAGGGCAGTCAAATTACCTCTATCACTAACCAATTTAAAATATTAGTTAAAATAAACATGAAACCCAAATTATAGTATTTTGAGTCTGGATCTAGGTAATATCCCCCCTTTTGAACCAGACTTTTTTAAAGTTGGAAGTTTATTTTTAATAACAAATTCATTAAAAAAATATATATATAAATCAAATTTTTTAAAATTTATATTCTTATGTTTAAAATATATGAAATTAAACAAATAAAATAGCTATAAAACAATCTCTGGGCTAGCCATATTATTAGGCTTGATTTTTCCAATTTTAAATTAAGAGCTTATCCAAAATAATATTATAGACCTCTAGATTTCATTAATAGATGCACAAACTTTTTGGCAATCTAAGAGCAAAATGTTCAGGGTATTGGATAAAATACTGGGTTAGCCACTTAACAACACTACTCTGGATGTAAAATTATATACTGTAAAATAATATAATCTATTCTGCTGTTCAACATATTAAATTTTCATTCCATTTATAAAAGAATTAATCAATATTGTTTATTAAATTCAATTCTGGTAAGGTAATCAAAAAATTTTGTAATCCAGTACTGGAATCAGTGAAAAAATGATCTAGCACTTCTCTAATTATTTTTTTTTACTAGTTAAAATACTGATCAATTTTGTATATTACTGATATTTTACATATTTGCTTATTAAATAATTTTTATATTGGCCATACACTGAGAATTTTATAAGAGGTTTAATTATTAGCTATACACAAAGTTTATTTTATTTTACACATTTTATTTATAAATAAGCAGATATTATACCAGTAAGAGAGAAGGTCTATTTGTATTTCTCCAGTTAAATGAACCAACAGTATATTCATTAATGTTATTTTTATGAGTTATATGGCAATCAGAATGAGTATGTCCTGACAATACTAATCTTGGCATTAATGTTTCCATTATCTATCAAATTAAATTTACAAAATAAAAAAATATATTAAATAATTTATATTAAATATATTTTCTTACCTGTTGAGATGCATGATAGGATAAACAATCATATTTTGGTTTCATTTGTTGAAAGTTGGAATCTTTGTGAATATGAGAACAATTAAGATCAGAATATCTGAAAAGTGGAAAATGCTGTTTAATTTATAGTGGCTAATAAAACTTTAATTACCTGCAAAATGATGGGTTTTGAATAAAAATTCATCACATTTAAATATTTACAATTAGTGTCATTCTTTTTTTTTAAAAAAAGATAAAAATGTTAACAATATGAATAAATACTTTCAAGCAATTCAAAACTTTGGATATATTCATCAATGACCTTGCAGCTTTTTTGCATAAACTGCAATTATCACCTTCAAATGCCATGCTATTTATAGTAATAAAGATGTTATCTTTAATTACAAACATATCCAAAACTCTGTTGTTAAAGGTTTTAGAAAATCGATTTAAAAATTGACCATTAGAATTTAGGCTAGACATTGATAGTTAAAATATTTATCAAACTGATTATATTCTACATATGATAATGAAACCCAACATCATGATTTCCTACTAATGAATTCAATTTGATATGTTTAGGATGATAAAAGATAGAATGAAAAGAATGTATATAGTTTTTATAATCATTTTCATTTGCTAATTGCCCTTCGTCCAATATATCTCCTAATATATATATAACATCTGGTTTTAAAAAATATAATGCAGCACGAAATGTCATTCGCATTTGCCATTCTCTTCTCAATTTATCAAACCAATGCCCGTTTATAGTTCCCAATAAATGTGTATCAGCTATAATCAACGATTTTAAAAAAGGTAAAGAGAGATTTAACCATGCACAGGTAACTAATGAGAAATAATATGCAAGGTATTCACAAAATAGAACTAAAATAAATGAGTAAATAAGTAAAATTATTAGAAGTAAAAATGTATCAATTTTAAAATTTTTCATTAACCGGTTTCATAAAAGTTTATAACAATAATAATTCGTCATTTCAGGACAATGACATATACAGTTAGTGTTGTGGGTAGATTTTTGAGAACGGCCCAGATTTTAGCCAAAATATATTTCGTAAGCCTGGGAACTTTGCTCATTAGATGCCATAAAGGTTTGGCATTGATATATCTTGAGGTTCACATAATATCAACTTGACTAGAATCTTAATCGAGCTGTTATTAGAAATCGACTTAAATTGGGCTTATTAATAACACTATATTTGATGTTTAAAATCAGATTTGTCTATATATACCATTATAATTAGCAAGCAGAAATGTGAAACTTAAATTCATTTTTTAAATTGTATATTTTTTAAAATAAAATGCTTTAAATAAATATATAGGGTTAAATATATCTTTAGAATATCTCATTGTATGAGAAATTATTCACTGAATTCAAAAATTTGAATAAACAAATAGAGAAATACAAATAGAGAAATACAAATAGACAAAAATTTTTGGGTAATTTTTTCTTATTAGTTTATTAAAACACTTTACCTTTTCTATTAAAAAAATGCAAGGCCCATTTCTTTATGGGAGTTATGTAAAATAATATGTATAAAAATATTTTACTTTATAAAATCGGTTACGTTAAATTAAAAAAAATAGGCCAATCCAATATTTTTTAAAGGTCCAATATAGGCGTCGATCCGATATCGATAAGTATTATCGGTGCAGCTATAGTTTGGTAATTACTATAATTTTAGCAATTTAAGCTAATTTTTAGCCGGCTAAAAAAAGGCTAAATCAAGTTTTTAGCCGAAAACTATCATGTATGTTTAGGAGCAAGAAAAATGCCTTGATTTAAAAAAATCAAATTCAAAATTTAAAATTTTCTTCTCAGTTATATATAATTTATTTTTCACTTAAAATCCAAGAATAATATAATGGTCATTTCATAAAAAAAAATAAATTAAAAAATAACAAAAAAATATATTGATTGACGATATTATTTTTTGCAGTATTTTATTGAAAAACTGTAACACGCCCACCCCTCATAAGCTCAGTGTTCATATACTCTATGAAGTTGAAAGTTATCGATCTTCACCATTATCGTGGCATTGGTCATTTCTTTTGTCATTTATCGAATCGCACCTTTGATGGTAAAAACGAATGGTTCTATCGACCATGGTATTTCCGAATTGAACATAGATACGTGAAATTTCACATTAACAAAATAATTACAATTTTGTTCTATAATATGATTTAGTGATGAATTGGTGAATGATCAATAATAATGTCCATTAAAAGAAAATAAACAAGTATAAACGAAATTCTATAGACTGGACTTGGATTTTAAAAAAATTGAAATAAATTGTACCAAGCTAAGTTAATTTTACATTAATCAATTAATGAACCAAGTCAGTTCTGATAAATTGTTTAATTTTTGGTAAACTTCATGAATATCATATACCTGACCCGATAAGCGTATCTTTTTTTTATTATTTTAATTGAAGAGGTCAATACAATAAAAATGTTAACAATAAAAATATACATATTAAGCAAAATAATATAAATAAGGGTGGGGGGGGGGGGGTGAATTATTTTTCATTCAAGAATCTATTTAAAAATATAAGTAATATAAAAAATATAGTCAAATTCAAACCACTGCATTTACCCACACAGATAAAACTTTTATGTAATTTTTTTTTCCGAACATGTGCATTCCCTTATTCAATTATTCCACCTTCCGATAATTAATTAAATAATTTGCCTAATGGAAGTTTCATTTTCTTTCCTTTTTCTTTTGCCACGGTTTAATTTACAATTTTTTAAAAAAAAATTAGGTGTGAGGAACAAACAAAACAAAGACAGGGAGTGAGGGGAAAAAAAAATTTTCAGCTCTATGAACTTTGTTTAAAATAAATATATAAATAAAATACACATGTCACTGAATTCTTCGCCTCCTGATCTCTTTAATTAAAATATGTGGTTAGCAAATCTTTAAAATAATAACCTGCCAAAATTGGACAGAAATATTTAATGAGTCGTAAAAAAACGAGCAAATCTCTCCCCACATTTCGTAATATTGCACAGATTACCTAACATCATGGTGTCTTTCTTCAAATTACTGTAGCTCGGTCACTACCTCGGTACATTTCTTTACAAGAATTTTATATATAATGAATATCACATATATTATTACAAATAATATCATAAATAAATAATCAATTATATCCCAAAACTTATGATCTAAAATGAAAATTTCATCAAGAATATGAATTAATATATTCTACGAATCCAACTCGCCCTTAAAATTTAAATTTCTTTATTTTTCTTTTAGTTCATTTTTAAGATACTTAAATTTACTTGCTTACAACCTCACTTAAAATAAGGCAAAATTCATATTACAATAATAATAATTGTATTTTAAATTAATGCAATCATAAATATATATCCCAACATTCTTGATACCTTTTTGTTACTTCAATAACCGTTAAAAATTAGCATTTCCTAATTCCCCCCAAATTATTCCTTTTAAGGTTACAAAGTAACAATAAAAAATGTTCCATTTTTCCCTTTTAATTAGATTAAAATTTGTTTACCAAGTTCATCTTTACTTTAAAAATAGTAATAATTAGTATAAAATCATCCAAAAATCCTTATTCCAAAAATATAAATGTTTTTCATTAATAAAACTAATGGCCTCAGTATATTGCGTTATAATTAACCATTATTTTAATTTAAAAAAATTAAATTAATATGTATGTAAAAATATTTATTTACCTGTTTATTTAGGTAAATCCAATCCCATCTTACAACACAAAAATTTAGAATTTTCTTCTCAGTAATATTTTATTTTATTATTCACTTAAAATCCAAGAATAATATATTGATCATTTCATAAATAACAAAAAAGATATATTGATTGAGGTTCATTAAAAAAATATTATTCTTAGCAGTATTTTATTGAACAACAATTTGATGTATACTTTAGTTAAGTTGGTTAAAAAAAAAATTAGTAGATTAATTATAATATTATCATGTTTAAATTTTAATATAAAATTAAAGATATATCAAAACTTATTTGAAAGTCCCCCATTGTAACCAAGTTTTTAAATTAAAATAAATGTTTAAACAGGTATAAGTTAGTTATTTTAGTTATAATTTAATCAAAATTTATTTTAATTTTTATCATTTGAAAAATAATAGTTTTGAATGTTTAATTTATTTTTCTTATTTTACCAAGGTGCACTAAAATATTTACAAATCTTTTTTTTTATTACATTATCTATATTTTGATAAAAAAAATTCATATAGTCTTCTAAATTTTTTTATAAATCAGATAAATTAATATATAGCAATTCGTTTTATTGATGCTTATATATAAAATATAATTATTTTTACCAAATAGTCATAATAATGTTGTTATAATTATTGTTTTTGATAAAATATAATTTGTCAGAAAATAGAAATTTAGTGTAATATAATTATATATATTGACGAAATATATTCGATATTCTAAAAATATTGGAAAGTGGCAGGCGAAAATCGGGAAAAAATAGGGAATTTATATTTATAAAAAAATGACTTCATAATAATGAAATAATAATAAAAAATAACGATCTTAAATAAAGCAAATAAGGATACAAGTGTAGGACCCGAAGTAAAACCGATTAGCGAAATAATAAAAACAAATTGTAAATTTTGTTATGTCTAAAAAAGTTATCACACAAGCTAATACTTCTTTTGATAAAAAATTTTCATGATTTATACATTGTTGCAATAATGAATATTAAAAATTATTTTTACCATATGAAAACAATAATTATATTATAACAACATTATTATGTCTATTTGGTAAAAATATAATGATTTATATATCTAACTAAGCACCAATAAAACGAATTGCTATCGATAATAATTTATCTGATTTATAAAAATTTCAAAAAGACTATTCGAATATTTTTTACCAAAATATATATAATGCTATAAATAAAATTCATAAATTTTTTAGTGCATCTTGGTGGAGAATAAGGCAAAATTATTTAAACATTCAAAAATATAATTATTTTATTTTTAATTGTTAAGAATTAAAAACATTTAAAAACGCCATCTAGCGGATAGATTATTTTTGTTATTAATAAAAAATAATTATGAGATGAATCTCCCACTTACCAATCCATTTACCAATCTTCATCCATATATTTATATATATTTATATGTTACCACTCCTTATATAGGATTGTAATTTATTTGTGGAAGCTAGTGGGAGAGACTTAATACAAATAAGGAACCTTGTATTAAATAAAATTAATATATAAATATTTAATAATTTCGGTTAATTATCTTACGAATGATTCCTTATATGACTTGTAATCAACTTGTCGAAGGTTATAGTAGAAACTTTAATTTTTATTTTATTAAAATCTTTCTATTTATATACATCTTTTTAATGTGCAAAAATTACAAGTGTAATGAAAATTCATAAAAAAAATAATGAAAATTACAAGTGTTCACAAACATAATTAAAATTACCAGTCTATAAAAAAAATAATTTCCTTGACTACATATTCAAATTAATATTTAACCCTCATCGATTTATAATAAATTCATAAAAATTACAAGTATGTATTCAAATTAATAATTAGTACACGAATATAACATTATATATGATGTATTTAAAACAGTCATCTAATATATCTAAAACAATCAATATATTATCAATATAATTATATAATCATTTTGTTTCTTCGTTCAGTCTGGTATTAAATATCATAATTTCTACCAATATATCATATAAATCCATTGTAAAAATAATTTTTTTTGATATAGGTATTAAATAAAAGGTAATTAAAATATTTTTTTTATTGTAATAATAATAATCACTATAGAGGGCTGGTCTAGGTCTTGGAGGGTGAGGAATATTTTTATCAACATAAAATATAGATATGGGTATCAAATAATATAATTCATTATCCTTTAAAAAATTGAAATTTTAAAGGGATCCCTTTAAATCCCGTAAAGATCCCGGATAGTCATGATCCCTTTAAAAATTACGACACATATTTTTAAATGTAAATTTAAATTTAAAAAAAAAGATAAGGATTTTAAAATTAATTATAAAATTGTTATGATAATTTTTGCTATTTATTTAATAACGAGCTACCGTTATCTCTCTTTTTTAAAAAAGCTAAAGATATCGATACTAAAAAAATAGCTATGGAATATCGAGCTAATATAGAACACTGCAAATTATATATTTCAAGTTCAGGATTGGAACCAAAAAAAGATTTATAAAATTATTTTATCTACATTCTCTTTTATTTCTGTAAATTCTATCCAACTAGACATTTTGTTAATATGTCGAGGACCTGACAGTCATACCCATCAAGACAAAAAATGAATACTTTCAATCTAAAGAAATTTAAATGAGCTTTTATTTGATACCCATATCTATATTTTATGCTTTTTTACACCTCCCCCCAGACCAAGTCATACCCATCAAGACCAAGAATAAAGACTTTCAGTCATACCATATTAAAGTTAGCTTTTATTTGATACCCATATCTAAAAAAATTATTTTTTACACCCCTCCTCACTCCCACCCATACAGATCGCCAATTATGGGGAAAAGTTTGGCCTCCAGTTGAATAGATCTTTTGATTAGCTATCGATTGATACCCTATACTGGATATATCTTATATCAAGGCCGAAAAAAACAACATGAAAAATTAATTAACAATAAAATTAAAAAACACAACGAAACTCGTGGAAAACACTTTTAAAATAAGATTCCTCTTTATTAGGATTAAAACGTGATAATACCGTATTATAATTCCTTGTTATCCCTTTAAATCTCGTGAAGATCCCGGATAGTCATGATCCCTTTAAAAATTACAACATATATATATCAAATTCATTCATTAAATCAAAAATAACTATCTACATATAACATTATGGATACTATTCTGACTTTTATCATAACTCAATTCATTTAATTTCAATGTATTTCATAATGTTATTACATACTGCAGACATTAACTCATATTTTCACCAATGATATCATTCCTTTTAAATAAATGTATCCCATATATGCTTCAGATAACATTCCTTTTAAATCTAAATGTACCCTATATATGTTATCATTTATAATTAAATATATCATATGTGTAATTCAAATTACACCATATTACATAAAAATGGTTAATTACTTCACAATAAACAACTTTAACACACCCACAATAGATCCCTTAATAATATATCAACCTTAATTGCAACTGGATTAAATATAGTAACATTAATTAATAAACCTTCCCACACAAAAAGTATTGAAGCTAAAAGAACTGTTTTTATGTTAAATTTGACGAGCATAATATTTTAGATAAAGTTTTCATTTATAAGGATTTTTGATACTTTCTGTATATAATTGATTATTTATTTGCGATATTATTATGTTTAATAATATATTTATTATTCACTGATAAGGAAATGTACCGATGTAGTGACAAAGGTATATAATAATTAATGAAAGACACTGTGGCGTCAGATAATTATTTTTTTTTAAAAAAATGTTGGACTTGGAAAGTAAATAGTTTTAAATGAAATCTAGAATGATAAACCAAAAGTGGTTAATTTAAAGGATAATATGTGTGATCGTCCGAAATGTGTGCAGAGATTGGTGGTTACTCTCCAAGAAGTAAAAAGAAATGAAAGATGTAATCAAAGTTATATACCATGATGTATATAGATTGATTAATATGGATAATAATGGTTTATAAAAATACTATAATATGGTGGAACTGACCTATATCGTAAAAGGGTGCAATTAATACATATATATCATATGATATTCATTAAGCGTTTGTGAAAAGGCGAGATTCATTAAATATTTCTGTCTAATTTAAACAGGTCAGTATTGTTATGGATTTGGGTTATGGTAAAAAAAAATAAGTATCATAGTTGACTTTATAACATATATTAATTAGTTTTTTAAACAAAAATAAATGGTTGGCAGGGATCCAAACCGAACCTGAACCGAACCTAAACCGCTAAAAATTTCAGCCGAACCTGAACCGAACCGCTAAAATGCCTCTGAATCTGTTCGAGTCTCATGATTTTATGCTTATAAAATAATATGTAAGTTATTATTAGATTTCAAATATATTCGAATTATTTTAAAGATTAACATCAATCACATTTGATTGATAAGTGTCGGTCATAATTTTTAGAAACTTTAGTATATTGTCATTTTACAACATTTTATAAATATTTTAAGCTTATAAATTATAATGATTAGAGAAAAATTAAATCCAAAATATTATTATAAATGACACATCAAATCTGATATCATATTGGCAGGCTACCAAAGTTAGTGTGGAAAGATGTTTTTCAACAATTAAATTTATATTATCTCCTTATTGATGTAATTTGAGTGAGACGAATTTTGAAAATATATTAATTGTGCGGCTTAATAAAAAAATTTAAGTAAAAAAAGGAAAATATTATTCATATTAAAATTAAATATTGATATATATTTTTATATTTATAAATTAAATATTATTTTATAATGTGCAATTAATAAAAATGAAGGTTTTATATATGTGTTTTTTAAATTAATGATAAAATAAAAAAATATTTTCCCTATACATAATTAGAATGTAGGTTTGAATATAAAAGTGTTCAAACTGGTTTTTAAAGGTTCGACCCGAACAGATATTTTAATTGTTTACGAACCGAAACAAACCGTTCGCACCACCTCCAAAAAAAAATATATAAAAAAAAATTAAAGTCTTGAAAACACAACATGGTACAACAAAATGGGGAAAGAAAGAACTCGTTTGGCATGCGAGAGGTAATTTATTTTTAAGAATGAAAATATATGTATAAAGGGGAATTGACACCATAGTTGTACATGATAGTTTTTTATGTAATTACCCTTACAAAAGGTATAAATTACACTATCGATAGGTACAATTAACACTATAGGTGGCCAATAAACAATAAATATATTTGGAATAAAATTAATATAAAAAAAAAATTTGGAGATGGTGATAAAAAAAAATATAAGAAAAGCGTATTATCATAGAAAACAATTATAATTAAAGAACCATTATGATCTAAATGAATAATTTTGACCTTAGAAAATTTGAATTTAAAATGACATTACTGATCATCTTAGTGACAATAACCCCACGCCATAATTGATTGATGCTCACTTTGAAAAAAAAAACGGAGTTGCGTAAAGTTAATTCTCAAAATTTAATTCTTTTAAAATTAAGGTAGTAAATCAAAGTCATTGTCATTTCTTTAAATTTAAGGTTATAATCAAAGTCATTGTCATTGAACAATCAACCGATTCCTATTCGAAGCGATAACGGTTTATAAAAAGTTAAAAAATTAACCCTATCTCCTATTTCTTTAGTATTAACAACTTCATCCTTCGTAAGCTTTTCAAACTCTTTCATGGGCAAGGATGACACCGGAGAACCAGTATCTATCATAAAAGAAAAATCATAATTATTAACTTGAAGGTCAATCATAATATCATTAATAAAATTAATTTTATTTCTTGGCCTTAAATTATAAGGGGTTTGTATCATCTCCGTTTTTTTGAAATTGCTGTAATTGCTGTTGTTGTTGTTGCTGCTGCCGTTGTTGTTGTTGCTGATGCCGTTGTTGTTGTTGCTGCTGCCGTTGTTGTTGTTGCTGCTGTTGTTGTTGCTGCTGTTGTTGCTGCTGTTGTTGTTGTAATTGTTGTTGCTGGTGTTGGCCTTAAAAGTCTGCTTGTTCTCTTCCAAGACGAAAAGCCTTGCCAATTTCTATCCTCTCTTCTCCAAGAATCTTTCTCTACATATGTTTTATTATTATTGATCTCCAACGATTCAAATTTGACAACAATGTCTTCTATAATATTAATCTCTGTAGTATTTTCTTCAATCAACCTTGTTTTTAGCTTTTCATTACGACAATTCAACATAAAATGCACCGACAAAAATTCAGGATTGAGCCTCGAACCATACCCTTTCATTCTATCGAAACACTCTCTGGAAGACTCAAGTCTGTCCGGTTTTGTATTGAACAACTCCAAAATACTCGTGATCTTTACATCATTCCTGTCCTGCACCATATTAAAAATAGAATTATAAAGGCTTGAATATTTAATCTAGAATGGTTGTTATAGTAAATTGGTATTTTATTTATATAATTTAAAAAGAAAGAAAATACAAGTTATTATCATGTAAAAAAAAAGTGATTGAAATCAAAATATATATTTTTTTATATATACATTCTGTTGCCTTAAGATATATAACTGAACTTTTAAATATATATTATTTAAGTATATAATAGTTTAACTGACATTTTAAATATCATTTTAGTAAGTAATAAAATAATAGCGCACATGCGCACATACAACAATTTTTATCCGAACCTGAACCCGAACCGATATTCCTTTCGGTTTGGATTCATGATGGTTGGAATTTGTTTAGATTTCTTTTATTATATGAATTTTATAAATCGATATTGGAAAGAGTTTTTTTTTATGTAAATCATTTGACTTATTATATATTTTAGTTATAAATGATGATCATTTGGTTTATTATTATTTTGTAAAAAAAATATTTAATTTATATAAAGAATTTTTTTTTAAAAAAAAAATTATCCACCTCCCGGGAATTAATTAAATAATTAAACAATTAAAACGAAACTTTCGTTTTCTCTTTTGTTGCCGTGGTTTAAATTACAATTATTAAAAAAATAAGTGTGAAAAAAAAAATGCCAAGAAGAGGAGGGAGGGGAAAAATAAGCCATCAAAATGAATGTTTGGAATAGTTTTTTTTAGCTTTAATACTGTTGCATGTGCACAATTATAATAAATTTTTTTTTCATATATTTTAATGATTGTTTTTTTTGATTAAATAATTTTCTTCATTATATAAATTTTATTCCAAATATATTTATTGTTTATTGGCCACCTATAGTGTTAGTTGTACCTATCGATAGTGTAATTTATACCTTTTGTAAGGGTAATTACATAAAAAACTATCATGTACAACTATGGTGTCAATTCCCCTTTATACATATATTTTCATTCTTAAAAATAAATATAAATTACCTCCCGCATGCCAAGCGAGCGTTTATTCCCTATAAATTGTAGTTTCTTTCACTTTTTATTTCAATATTCATTTTTTTATATTTTTTTTGGAGGGAGTGCATGTTGCATGTGCGCTATTATTTTATAACTTACTAAAATGATTTATATTTAAAATGTCAGTTAAACTATTATATACTTAAATAATATATATTTAAAAGTTCAGTTATATATCTTAAGGCAACAGAATGTATATATAAAAAAATATATATTTTGATTTCAATCACCTGTTTTTTTTATATGATAATAACTTGTATTTTCTTTCTTTTTAAATTATATAAATAAAATACCAATTTACTATAACAACCATTCTAGATTAAATATTCAAGCCTTATAAATTCGCTTTCATTAGCCTATATTACATCCTGTGCGAAAATTCTAATAACCATTCTACATTTAAATATTCAAGCCTTTATAATTCTATTTTTAATAAATACTTTTATAAAATAAAATTTACACATAATTTTTAAAAATAATAAAATAATAATTTTTATTAATCAGATAAATTAATATCGATGACAATTCGTTTTATTGACGCTTAGTTATATATAAATCATAATTTTTTACCAAATAGACATAATAATGTTGTTATAATATAATTATTGTTTAATAATTTGTCAGGGAGTATTGGAAAGGGGATAGGCGAAAATAAAAAAATAAGGGAATTAAAATTTATAAAATATATTTTAATAATAATGAAATTTATGAACATATTAAGTAATAAGTTCATATAATATTTCTTTAAAATAAAAAATTTACATGATATTGTAATAATGAAAATTAAAAATTATCTTAGCTATATATATTAAATTGATTTGAACACCCTTAAAAAGTATTAACCGACAAAATTAGAGATGCCAACAATATTTTAAGAGGAAGAATTAAAAGATATCTCTCAGAAAGAGAGAAGAATACTTTTTAATTAATCAATATCTAATCTTAATGCCCGAATCAATAGATTGTAATGATACATTTAATACTTCACTTAGTAGTCATTCATATCTAAGATAAAGCCAAAAGGTTCGAACATTAAATTGCATTTGATAAATATTATTTATTTGATTCTATATTATAATTTTGACTCCTTATCGCTTTAATTCACGTATGCTGATGTGGTTTTTAACATATAAGGTTTTATCTAATAAATGTAACTTATCTTCTTTATACATAATATTTAAAATTAAGATATTCATTATTTAAGAGATATTCTCCTTCTCCTGATAAGGATCTTTCAAATTCTTTTTATTGTAACATATAGACATCTTTAGTTTTTTTCGATTAATTCTTAAACTACCTTACAAGTCTAAATTTTTTATTAAAAAAAACTGCTATATTTATTCAAAATCTCAAAAAACTATTTGATTATTTTTGAAGAATAATAATTTAATCCCCTGGTATTTATCTCATGAGTAAGGCTACACCGATCCGCAATAATTTTACAGATCCAATCCGTTTTAATTTTTGTTGTCATTATTTTTCTATAATATAAGATAATGAATAAAAATCTGTAAATAAATTATTTTTTTTAAAAGTGTTTATGTTCAGAATATTAACTTTTCCCGCTCTTCAGGGACCCTAACCTTTATTTATAACGGTTTAGTATATAAAAATTAGTAATGGATACGGTTCTTAAGAAAAAATTTATAAAGGTTCGGTTAGATTCGGCTAATGAATCAAGACATTTTTACCTCTGCAAGCCTCTGAAATAAGTTAAAACATAAGTAGGGCTGCACCGTTATTACATATCGGTTTCAGATTTGTGCCGATATTGGGTCTTTAAAAAATATCGGATCAGTCTATTTTTTATAAATTTAACCTGATTTTATAAAATAAAATATTTTTGTACATATTAATTTATTTTGAACTAAATTTCCCCTTCTCGCAATAAATGTCCATAACTCTCATAAAGAAAGGCGGCACATAATTTTTTTTAACATTCATCACCTAAACTTACAAAAATACAGGGAGCTATCAGGTTGGACCAGGATTCTTTTGGATGCAATATCCAGATTGAACTTTAAATATTTAGTGATGTCAACATGAACAAAGCAATTGATAACATAATTCTTTTATAATGATTTATATAGAATTTATTTGCAATTAAATAAATTAGTAAAAATTGTTTGGAGCCTTAAAACATAAAAACGATAGTGAGGCAAAATCTTTAAATGAAGTTGCAAAATTATTTAAAACCATTTTATAAAATAACGTTGGGGAAATATCATCAGATACACCGGCAAGTGGAATCGCAATTTTATTTATAGAAAAGATGGATAAAATTTCAGGGGAGGCTCCCAAAAATCATCCTGAGGATGATATTAAACCTGCAGCAAATAAAATGCTGATAAAATATAGCTCATATAAAAGCTAATTATGATAAAAAGCAATGCAACTGTTATAATTGATTAGTAAACTTGAATAAAATATTTTATTATTTAATAGTCTTAAAGATTATCGTAAAATAATTCTTATGAAATATTATTAACTTAATCAAAATTATCTTTAAATAATCCTTTATTTTTGTAAATTTCTATAAGAAAATAATGCCTAAATCCGCTATTCTATACCTCAAATTCATAATCCGAATATTCCAATTATACATACCAAATAAAATAAAATAATTTTTATATTAAATTTTTTTTTTTCAATAAATTTTAAATATATCTAGAAACATGTTAAAATATTACATAAACTTTTATTATTTTTTTCTATATTTTAATTTTTAAATCTAATCTAATCTATATACTAAAAAATGAAAAAGCCTAAAATTAAAGAGATATAAGCGAAACTGCACTGGAAGAAGATGCTAATAATAATATATTAAGAAAATATAACTATATCTGTTTAATCAGTATATAAACGATCAAATCATATGATCCATTATAATGGTTTTAATTAAAATTGTTCTCCTTTTAGTTTGTTTATATAAATATATAAAAAAAAATGCTCTCTGCCTAAAAATAGATGTAAATGATTAACATACAATGGGTAAATAAATTATATAAATAGATAAAAATAATAACTCATGCATGGTATTTTAATTTAAAACATTTTTTTTAAAGAATCGTTAAATAGGCAACAACCGTTATACTACCCAACCTGTACCATAAAAATTCTAATTGATATAAGAGAATATTGCAAATACTTTAATTGTATGGCTTCAATTATATTGGTGCCATTAATGATAATGTGCACAAATTGAACCTTAACACTACCTTGTAAACGCAACAAATGCATTACAAATGTTATCTCGCAAATTGATTAAATTACCGTTTGGCGTTAAGGCCATTTTCGAAAATGTAAACTACCTTGCCTTTTTATAATTTTTTACGTTTTTATAAGACAAGTTCTTTAAAAAATCAGTTTTTTTCTTGCAAAGTAGCAGGCAAAACCTTATAACACAGATGATAAGAATGATGAGGGGAGAAGCATTAGAAATCACTTTCCTATCTATTTAGCTATATATAAATTTTGAATCAATAATACTAATTTTAAAATAAATGGGTAGTTACGTTTTTGTTTAAACTAAAAATACGGCAAAACGCAAACACTCAATTTGTGTGAACTATTATATACATGTTAAAAAAATTTTTTTTCTTTTTAGCTTTCACCTTTTTTGGTGGTAAGCTCCTTCAATATCTCTCTCCACTTTATGCTATTCATACTATCTCGTTTATCTAATTTATACTTCTTCATATTGGCTCTAACTTTATGGCCCCAAGGTTTTAAATATAGAGTTATAAAAAAAAATATACTTCTCTATACATAATTCGAAAGAGTTTGTATGCGAAAATTTTTACGAACAGAACCGTACCAATATTTGTTACGGTTTGAATTCCTGTAATTCATTCATTCAATTATAATATTATCTTAAATTAAACCTTGATTCGATATTAGCATCCATATAAGGATCAGAGGCGTCATTTGGATTTTAAAATTTTTTTTATGGGAAGGGGGGAAGGAGTGTCTAAAAACAAAATTCCTTAATTATTGAGTGCTCTTAAAAAAAAGCAATCTTTTTTAAAAAAACAGAAGTTAATTGATTTTGTTTTGTTCTGTGTCCAAGTATAATTTTAATGAAATCATATGTTAAATTTTTAAAAAAATTCGTAAAATTATATATACAATTATGTTTTGAACATGTTTTTATTTTTATATTTAAGAAAAAGGTTTTGGATTTAAGTTTTTGATGTTTTATACCCAACCTTTATTAAATTCCCTAAAATATAGCAACTTGAGGAGTCCTTTCCATATTTTTTATTTTAAGAGTGCTGAGCTGCGGTACCCATTTATCATTTCCCTTTTCAATGCCAATCATCTTGTTGTTGCAACCATTAAATTTTACACAATCATCTCTAAATCAAAAAATAAAATAGAAATATTTGCCTTGAATATTATTACCCGATTTTACTATTTTTATTTGGCACATATTTAAAATAAAGTTTGCTTTGTTTGTACAGCTTTGATCTATAATTAATCAATAAAATTTACCTTCATATTTATATTTATACTAAATAATATTCAAACACCCTCGTAAAATTTTGTGGGTAAATTTTATCTTAGGAAATCTTCTAATATCATTCAATTTTAATTTATCTGAAATGCGTTTAAGTTCAAATTCTACGCAGAGCTCATTTATAGATACTCTTCATAATCAAAAATTGTACGAAATGAGAGTGATTAAAACGATACCTCAGTTTAACGATAAATATATTAAATTATCTGAACAAGGTATCCCAATCAAGAAAAATTTCGCCAAACTCATTGGTTGCTGGAACACCGAATTTGGAGAATTAAATACGATAATCCAATTATGGGAATTCGGTAAATATTAATTGGGTGATGTTTGTTTATATTTATAATATTATTTTATAATCATTTCAAGATTCTTATCGTGAATACAAAGATATCAAGGAAAAATTGGAAACGGATGCCAAATGGCAGAAAACATTTGTCGATAAAGCGCCTCCAATGCTGATTAAAGAAGAAAACATGACAATGAGAAAAATTTCCGATGAACCCTTGTCAATGATCGAGGATCCAGGGGCAGATTCAAGTAAGTATATAATTAAATATATACCCTCCTAGCCTTACCGTAGGTGCCGATTTCATCGGGGGCTAAGGGGTTCGCGCCCTCATTTAAATATTCTACAATGTGAACTAATAAAGAAATTTGCCTCATACACATACCCCCCAAAAAATCAGTTTGATATTCCATATTTTAAAATTTTTGAGAAAATAATAATTTGGAGGTAACACCCCGGGTCGGACACTAACTCAATATTTTATCCAGAAAAATATTTTCTAAGCCTCGAGATTTCGTTAATGATAGATGTTCAAACCTTTGTGATGAGCAAAATCTTAAGGCTTGCATAATATTATACCTAATATAATGTTGAGTTAGCAGATTTTAAAAATCAGCTCGAAAATGAGCCTTTTTTAACAACACTACTTTTTTTGTAATTTGTATTTATTTGGATTAATTAGAAAAGTATTTATGTTATTTGTATTTTAAATACTAAAAAAATAAAAAGCATTTTGTATATGTACTACGATTTCACGATTTTCAGGACGACGAATACAAATAAGAATACTCTTTTTTTAAAAAAATCTTTTATTATAAATTGAATTATAAAAATGTAAATTCACGTTTATTTATTTAAATTTGCGAGGCGAGTTAAATTGACAGCCTCCATTCTAAATCTTATTTTATTTTTTAAATTGAGTATTACCGAAAGCGGAAACAAAAATAGAAGTTTTACGAAGGCGAGGAAGTTGTATAGTAATTGAAGAAAGTTTTTAAGATATTTTTGCAGGGATTCTGCACTGTGACAGCCTTAACATCCTCTTAATGTAATTTGGCAATTTTGGATGGAAAAATTTTCAAAATATCATCAAAAATCTTTAATATAACGAAAAGGGTAATCAGAAGGGGGAGGGAGGGTGCGGTCTCCCTCGAAAATTTTTCTGATCTTTTAAATAATTATTCTTAAGCTAATAATCCCCCCCCCCCAATCTCTCTCCCTAAAAAATATATACAGTATATCACTATAAACAAGATTTTAATAATTTTTTTTAAAATAATAAACAAAAGTATTTTTATAAACAAAAAGGTTAAAAACCAAAATTATTTTTATAGAAATATAACATAACTAAAGGCCTACAATAAGTGAATCTTAAAACCTCCAATAAAATTTATGGAAAAAGGTCCCATCTAATAGTGCCCTCCCCCTAGTAAAATTCTGTGGTATGTCTATGAAGCTAAATGTAATATCTACTCAAATAGAACCAAAATATTGTGCGATTTCATCCTCCAACTAGGTTAATTATATGCTTTGTAAAACCGTGATATTAATTATATCGCAGTTATTACATAATTTATGTGATATGCTACTGCTGCAGCAATTTATTTTTTGAAAATTTGCCAAACCCTGGTAACACGCCAGCAATTATCCCTTAATATATTTTTTTTACTCCCTATCCCCGAACGCCTACCCCCAGTGGTATTTATTTGAGTCGAGCATAATGGCCCGACTCATTTGGAGTACGTAATCATAAAAAGTAATCTCGAATTACTAAGTCCGGTTTTATACGACAAAATTATCCAAATAAGTCGGTCCAGTTGACTCTAACCGGCTAATCACACCTGCCTCTTTACGTAAGGTATATAATGTATACTTCCTCCTCCTATCCCCTTTATCACCCATTTAGACATTAGCATTAGCCATAGTCATCAATAGTGATACAAAACCATTTGAGTCGATTTTTGAAAAACGGCTAACTCAATATTTTACCCAGAAAAATATTGCCCAAGCCTCGAGATTCCTCTAATAGATGTCCAAACCTTTGTATCATCTATGAGCAAAATCTTCAGCCTGCTTTTTTAGATAAAATACTGAGTTAGCCGTTTTTAAAAGTTGGCTCAAATTGGATTTTGTTAAATATTTTTGAGCTTTCAAAAAAAAAAGAAGGTTTTTATAAATGAAAAGTTGTTATGTAAAATAATCTCTCTTTGTTATGTTTTCACAATTCAAAAACAAAAAAATAATTTAGGTAATCTACCAACTGCTCATTACAGGCTGAATATATATGCTTTGACAAATTCATTGGATCGTGGTGTCCTCAAATTTAAGGAAATAAGAGCCAAATATTTTAAATCTTTCACCGACGACAAGAAAGATAATGGCAGTGTTTGTGTGTCTCATTTGGGTACCTTTTTGCCAGAATCGGATAAAATGAACCAATGTAAATAACGCTTTCATTAAAGTTAGGTTACCATGTTAAATAAGTGAAAACAGTTCCATTATTAGTGTATATAATAGAGGGAATAATTTTCCTTGCAAATATTACATATTAAAATATACTATTTTTTTAAAAAAAATATATAGTTCCAAACATTCTTAAGATTTGATATATTTTGCGAAATTGTTGTTTAATACTAGTGTTTAGGTCGGTCGATGTCTAAAAGTAATATTCAAATTTTTAGAATTTAAATAATCTGAAGGAATTATTTCTTAAATATAAGAGTTCCAAAAACAATTGAGCAATTTATTTAAAATTTATTTTATTATTATTTAGTGTTTGAATTTGTGAGACATAACAATATGGATGACAAGACTTTTTACAAGAAAAGATCAGAACTGCAACAATTAAGTTTGAACCTACGTGATTTTATTATTTTTTTAAAAAAAAATTGTTTACGATGAAAAATAATTTAAATATTAATTGCATATGTTCTCTTGAAACTTGGTATTTTTAGGGCTGCCTGCTTTATGCTAGAAATTACAAAAAAAAAATTATAGGCCGATATTCATTTGCATTTCCTAAATAAAATATTTTTTTAATCATTAGATTAATATCTAAATTTGCTTGAGACTTCGTATTTTTATAGTTTGCTTTATGCTAGAAATTCCAAAACTATAAAAGATATATTCATTTGCACGCCTAAATAATATTATTATACAATATCTAAATTTGCTTAATATGAAAAAAATTATATATATATTCCTCTGCACGCCTATACAAATTTTTAATGACCTTGTTTATTTTTCTTTAAATGCAGATTCTCAATTGTCAGATGTAGCCCAACTGGTTAGTTCTCAAATTCTACTCCCTTTGTCTTTCTCACCTTTAAAATGAAATCGAACGGAGAAATTTGGATTTATTAATTAATTATTTTTAAAAACTTTTCTTTTCTCCTTTATTTCTATAAATTCTATTCTGATATTGGGGAGTTATTTTATTAATAAAATTATATCCGAGTTTCAGTGACTTAAGCTATATTTTTTATTTCTTTCCCTTCTATAAGGAATAATTATTTTTTGAAATATTATTAATTATTAATAATATTATTTTATTTTTTTTGATGCAATTTTATTATATTAAGTTATTATTTATATTATTTTTTAGACTCTCAAAATTCAATTATTATATTTATTCAATTTATTTTTATTTTTAATTATATAATTATAAATTTATAAATTATAATTTTTTTAAAAATGTTTATTGGATAAACAAATTTATTTTTTTGAAAATGAGAATTAGTATTATTTATATTTTAAATAAATTACTCTGCGAAAAAAAAAATCTTTCAAATAAATGTTGAATCTTGGAAAGGACTTTTAAACCTAACCTCTATTAAATAATTCAAAATAGGAAACACTATAATTTAAAAGCCTACAAAAAAAGATGCTTCCACCTCTTTCGTCATTGGTTATAAACAAAAAATTAGGGGAGGGGGGGGGGGTTGTTGTTTTTGAAAAATAATTACGTAATTGTTATAAATCGTGATGATAAGCGAAATATAATTCCTCGGAAAAAATAAAATCCCCAATAATAATTCTTAGAAAATAATTCCGGGAATTGATTTTCTCAAAATTTTTTTAAAATATATTATTTGTATTTATAGGGGAATTTTTTCTCCTATTTTAATAATTTTGTAATTTATAATATCTTAAAAAAACGGATATTTTTTTCCATGGAATTATTTTCCTATATTCCAGGCATGATATGACTGTTTTTATGTAATTGTAATTATGGTTCAATATTCCATTTAAAAAAAAAAAGAAGTATTTATTTATTTGTTACATTTTATTATGAATATATTACTTCCCCTTATAATGATGTTAAGATCATTTCTTTAACAATAACCTTATTTTGTAATAAAATTATAAATGGAATCCTCCTATCCTCTTTGGGAAAGAGGGGAGGGGGTGTTTATTGCTTTATCAAAACCTGATAATAGTATATGGGGCTTAACAGTTGGGTCCTTTTCCTTCAAATTAAACGCCAATATAATAATGTATCATATTAAGATTCAAGGAATAGGTTAACAACTATTATCAATTTGGCTTTGGGGTCAAAAGGGATAGCGAGGCTGTTTTTCCATTCCCTTCGGATTTCTATTAGAAATCCTCCGTCTGATTCAGTTTTGTCCAAGGTTGTTTAAAAAAAAATGCTTTTAAAGCTTTATATTTGGAAGATTTCCTACCCATTATATAAATTCATAATCAGAATTTTTTTTTTAGTTTTTGGGGATATTTAAATACTGAGCTGAGGAGGGTATTCAATAAAAGGATCCTTTCTAATATAAAGTCCAAATTTAATATTGATTTTAACCTTTTATAACCTAGATGACGGAATCCTATCTGGTCCTGAGGCTAATGTCTTCGAGGCCATTAATTTCTTAATTAATGAATCCAAATTTATAGGTCTTGTTTTAGATATAAAATTAGTCATTTAAATGGGTCCCTATCAGAAATTTTTGTTTAAAGGTTATTTATCGGGAGTCAATCTCCCTCTTAGTAGTATTACATAATAGCAAGCCTAAAGAGAGAAATGTTTAACCAAATTGGAAGCCATATGGCGCGTAATATTTTTGCTAGGGGTTTCTCCCTTTTAGTTTAGTTTTTTTGCCAGCTTTTCTTTCTTCTCGACTTCAATGCGAGGAAGTTATATGAAAATTAGTGTGTGGTAAAGATAATCTATTTGAAACTGCCTGTGATAAAGAAGAAAAATTTATCCATTTTATCTCTTCCACCCACAGTCCACTGCATAAAGAGACTTTTTAACCATCTTCTGGGAAAATTTAAAAAATTGGTGGGGATTAGTCCCTACTTTTAAGACACTCCAATCCTTAAATACTTGTATCTGGCCATTAATGGCTTTAAACTGCTTCTAGTGCCAATCATGGTCTTCAATGAGGGGCTAAGCGTATAGGGTAAGACTTATGTGACCTATGTCAATCCCATATTTAAAGGGTGCGGGAAAGACTTGGATCTTAAAAGCCTACATGGTCTAACATGTTTATAATCTAGAATTATTCAGTCAACATAGAACTATTAACTCTCACAAACAAATTAGGTTTTGGCCAACTACCAAAACCTCCTGGAACCCGTCCACTTATCCCTGTCTGTTGGAAAAAGACCTGATGGGCTCACAAACATCTCTTGGTTTAGTGGTAAATATTTGATTTGGGATTTCACTTGTGTCTCCCAATTTTCTTCTAACCCAAACATTGATCCGATTTTCACAGCTCTAAAGTTCAAATATTAGAAAGCGCCACCATTTTTCTAAATTTTACATATCCCAATAGTTATTTCTACTAATGGGTCACTAGGCCCCCTAAGCGTCATTTTTTTTAAGAATTCAAGTAAAAAATGAACAAAATAATGGTGTTCATGGACCCTCTTTTAAAATGTTGTAACTAACTCATATAGACCAAGGCTAGTCGGGGCAAGGGGCTTGCTAGTTCAGCGGATTTCTTAATGTTTAGAATTATTATATATTTTTCTACCGATGAAAGAACATTTTCTTCTTTAACAAAAAATGAAAACATACCTGAGAAATAGTGTTGTTAAATGACTCGATTTTTGAAAACCAGAAAAATTGTCTAAGCCTTGAGTTTCGCTAATAGATGTCCAAACTTTTTTATACCATCTGTGAGCAAAACCTTTAGTTTTATGTAATATTTTATGGATAATATATTGAGTTGGCCGTTTTTAAAAATCGGCTAAAGAGAAATATTACCTCTGAAAATAGATTTAATAGGTATTACTTCTTAATTTACATAAGGAAGCACATACGAAAAAAAATTATCTCAAACCCAAAGAATATTAAATTTTTCAATTCTAAAATTTTTAATAGGCTTCATAATGATATTTTTCATCATTTTTGAATAACACCATATTATTTATTTTTGAATATTTTGTAGATTTATATTTTTAAATTTTGCGCAAGATAATTTTTCTTATCTATATTATTTATACTACTATTAACTTCTCAAAATTTATTTTATTATTTAATTATTAAATAGGTTGAAAGGCTAACTATATTTGTTTTTAGAGTTATCTAATTATTATTTTATTTATTTTTTAAATAATTTAAATAACAAAAACACTGAGTAAATAGTCCATCAAATATTTCATCATAATTTTCATTTTTCTTTAAAAATAGGGAACAAAATTTAAGAAGTTTATCAGATAAATGTAAATTTCATTTATTTTTTTTTTTACATTTTTTTCCTTCTTATTATATCTAATAATAGAGGAAGGACATGGAAGATATCAAGGGCTAAGAAAAAGAAATTTTTTTAATTCTATTTTAACAGAAATAATATGTTTTAGCATACCAAAAGTAACAAAATTTTAATTGTAAACTGTATTGTTTTAGATTTATAAGCTTTTAAAATCCCAACAAATAGAACAGAGACCTGCAGGCCTGACCCTAAGTCCGAGTACGCGAGTTCTGCCGGCCTTATATTTTAAAACCAAATATTTAAAATCGCCATTATTAGTTGTAAAAATCAAAGATAAATATAATATATTTTAAAAAAACCCGGGCCGGGCCTGGAATTTCTTTTTAAAAAAAAAGCCGAGCCGGGTAAAAATTTTTAAAATAAAAATCTGGGCCGGGTAGTGTTGAAATCGATTTTAAAAAAGGAACCCTATTTTTTTAATCTGACAGTTTTTCAGATATAAAACAAAATTTACTATACTTTTTTTTCTCAAGATTGATTCCAATAAAAGTAAATTTTTGCCCAAATCAGCCCCAAAGCTGGGGCTTGTATATTTAATTAGTTTATTAAGTCTCCTATAGGATAATTATTTTTATGGAAAATGTTTTATTGATATAATATACATAATTTACCTATAAATAATTCATATAAAAATGACAAATTTTTTGATATTAGCTAATTTTAATAAATATGCTTAAAATATATTCAAGTATAATATACGATTATGAAAGAAATGCAAAAAGTTTAAATTTTATATGTCAATTTTATTATTTTTATACCCTTCATATATTAATGCCACCTAATAGTGTGATATAAAAACATTTTAATTTTTACCTAAAAAATATATATTATAATATAATAAGATTTAAATAGCCAAGGGGTATGCTTCATAATTAAATTTGAATTTCTAAATATTTCTGGCTCTGAAATAATAGTTTAAAAATATGTTTGAGATTATGCGAAGTATCTATAGCATTTTTTGGAACATGATCAACCATAGCCTTTTATGCCATAGTATGCATTCATGATAATGCATCACGGGATTTAACCAAGTATACAAACCGAACTTGAACTGAAACGTTATACCGATAATAACCAGTATTTTTTATTCAACCCTGAACCCGCTAAAATTCTAATGAACCGGTTTGAGCCTCATTATTTTTGCTTATAAAATAATGTGATAACTTAATATATTGCTAAAATTCTATTTCATATCCGAATCATTTTAATTGATATGTGTCAGTCGCCATTTTTATATACATGAGTAGTGTTGTTAAACAACTCTATTTGAGTCCGATTTAAAAAACGGCTAATTCAATATTTTAGCCAGAAAAACATTATGCAAACCTGAAGATTTTAGTCATAGATGGCACAAAGATTTAAACATCTATTAGCAAAATCTCGAGACTTGGGCAATGTTTTTCTGGCTAAAATATTGAGTTAGCCGTTTTTACAAATCGGCTCAAATCGAGCTGTTTATCAACACTATAAACATGAGTGTACTGTTATTTTACAACATTTTTTAAATATTTTTAAGCTATGCTTAGAGATAAATTGAATCTAATATATAAATTATACATATAGATATAGATGACATTTCAAAATGTATTATTACTGATTGTGACATAACAGCGAATCACTGAGCAGATCTTGAGCGTTATATAAAAAGCAACCACCCTCTAGAACTCAATAAAATTAAAAAAAATATCACAAAAAATAGAATACATAATTCGAATGTAGGTTTGTATACAAAAGTGTTCAAACCGGTCGTTATTTTTATCCGAGCATTAACCTAAACCGAACCGATATTCGTTTCGGGTTGGATCCCTGGATTTAACATCCTCATAATAAGCATCCGTCAAATATTTAATTCTTTCTCTAACAAGATTTTAAATAGATTCGGAAAGATATTTGTAAGTGCTGCCTGATTAACCAAGAACCCTTCATTCATTTTAGTCATAAAAGTATCAAGTGGGATAGAGAGATTTATTCTAGAGTATATTTCGACTGACCCTCTATTAATATTAAAACGATGATGGGCTTGCCATGCTGCGAGTCGAAGAAGACAAATATTAAATTTATTGAGCTTACTTTTGCCTCAACAATAACATATAATTAATTATGAAATCCATCTAATTTCCTTAAGTTTCAATGTAATGCTTTCAGCATCATAGTCTCTCTTAATCAAATCACAATTTTTGAAATATTTTATTTTAGTTTTGCAGTGAAATAGTTTGAAAAGATTTGAGAAATTTTAAAATGGCAGATAATGCCAAGGAAATTTGAAATCGTTAATAATTCATAGAATAAATTCCTAGAATATTTATTTCTGCTGTAAATATGTTAAATCAATGTAAATTGGAAAATATATGTGATAAAATTAAGACCACTAATAATCTTGAAAAAAATTCTAACCGGCATCTGGATTTTTTTAACTTATGTACGCGCCTGCATCAGTATAATTCCAATCCAGTGCTTAAAAAGGCACAGCCTGTCTTTCTTTCTAACGATAACGCTTAAAGTTCGTTGCTATAACTGCGGAGAATTAGTTTATCAAAGTTAACGATAACCAAAAATTATCTTTCTTTGTATCTCAAATATTAAGTAATTTAGAATCATTGGGAATAAAATCACCCTAATTCTTGATAGATACAATAGCCAAATTTAAAATTCTTCAGTTAAATATTTAATTTTTATTTCCTAAGGTTGAATAAGAGTCCTTTAGCTTAAATAAGATTTATACTAACTAAAAGATAAAAAGGTTTAAAAAAAATAATAATATATAGATTCTGTCTGCCTTTATTGATGTTAAATCCCTTTGATCATTGTATTTTAAGAATCCTCTTTTCCCCGAGGAATATTAATGTGATTAAGTTTTAAAATTTTAGCACAACTTATATTACTCAAATTATATATAGCTATTATTTTATTAGTAGTTATACATATGCAAAAACACTTCTACCACGGAGGGGGAGAGGTATTACGCAAGATTGTTATTAAAAGGAATGGAGTTGGGATGGGAGATCAAATTTAAAAAAATACAATAATTCCTGTTTCACTTAAAATATAGAGGATAAGTGAAAATTCTAACATAAATTATGGGGGAAGAAGCTTTCTTTATTTCGTATCTTTTTCTTTTCTTTTCTTTTCTTTTCTTCTTTTTTCTTCTTTTTTCCTTTTTTTCCTTTTTTTTCTTTTTTTTCTAATTTATATAGTTACCTATAAATAATTAATTATTTTCCCGAAAAATATTCATTACGTAATATAATTTTTTTTAAAAATACGACGTTATTTTTATTTTTAAATTTATAGCTTGCCAATTATATTATTTGTAAAATTTATGGGAATTTTTTTTTGTGACAAATATCTAAACAACATACATAAGAATTTTAAAAAAAAATTAAAGTAACTTGCCAATTTATTATGTTGACATCCTAATCATTATAAATTTATGTTTTAAAAAAAATCAAAATGTTCTGTTTTATAATAAAAATAAATTATAAAATTTGTTAACATTATTATCTCTAATGTCAATTTAGGATATGGTTTTATTTTAGTAATAGGGAAAATAATAGCAGATAGCTAAAATCAAAATGACTACAGTTGAGGTAATTACTATATTTTTAGCCGTTTAAGCTAATTTTTAGATGGCTAAACAAGAGTTTTTAGTCGAAATCTATATCTATTGCTTTGGAGGTTTTTCTTAAAAATGTTACAGCTCAAATTTGGAAAAATAAACTAAAATATAAATGAAAACGCTTTAATGTTAAAAATTTTTTCTCTGGTACGCTCCTGTGCCGAATTAGCCGACATTTAGCCATTACCCAACTATACTAAATGACCTTAAAATTAGAGAATTTTAAAGATATTATGTCGAAATATTATTTAATTATTTTTATTATTTGCTCTTTGTTCGAATGATATAAAGTTATTTTTATACACGGAAGGTTAATTCTTGGAAAGCGCCCTTCTTATAAATATGTAAATTTATAAAAATTAGCATTACTTTTCTACTAAAGACGTTGTTTAAATAATTTCTGACAGACCTGAGCGCATATACGAAGCCAGGATTTCGCTAAATGGGGGGAGGCATTATTAGGGAGGTGTTTTCCTCTATAAGTATATTTGTATGTATTTAGTCCACCTTCATATGTTGGATTTATATAAAAATAATTTTAAGTTTATTTTCTAAAAAATTTGAATTATAAATGGTTATTCAAATTCTTGTTTGTAGTGATAAATATATATTGGTTTTTTTTGAGGGGGGGGGGAGCGGTGTGTTAAGGAAATTTTTTATTAGCTTAAAATGATATATACGTAACGACAGGAAAAGTTCTATGACCGAGTGATTTATTGGGCTTCAAAATACGTTTAATCATATGAAATTTTGAATTTTAAATTATTATAATTTTTGTATGAAATTCAATTAAAACATTTTTTTTTGTATTAAAATTAAATCGAATTACGAATTTTTTCGAAATAATTTAATAATAGTTATAAAATCGTTAGTAATCGATTAAAATTTACCCAAACTATTTGTATTATGGTAACCTTGAAACATTTTTTTTATTTAAACAAAAAAAAATTAGAAGATATAAATTAATTAAGGTTAATTTAATTCCGTTAATTGATTCTGTTTCGGAATGCATTGTTTACCTTCAATTTTAACAAAAGGGGATCTAAAAAAAAAATGGAGAGCGAAAGTTTATATAGAACCATCCATTTTGAATTTAATTTTTTGTTTTACATATAAGATTATAAATTATATTTTAGCTAATCATATACAAATGCATGCACTTCCAAGTAAATCCGAATGAGGGAGGCCCACTCCCTTTAAAAAAATTGTGTAAAATAACGGGGCGAAAAATCTCTTGCGTTAAAACATAAACCCTATCACAAAATAGTGAATAAATAAAAGATACATTAAAAATCCGGTCGAAACCGAAATCCGGTCCATAACTGATATAATTTTAGAAATCCCGACCAGGCTTAAAAATAAGATAAGATCCAGTTACAGTAAAATTTTGATCAAATTTTATTTTTAAATTGAATATTATAAATTAAATTTAAATAATTCCTTATCAAATTTTTAAGAAAACCACCTTTTTTTCTTTGTATTATATAAGCAATTAAGAATATAATAGTTATTTTATTTATTTTTTTTTGGCCAAGCCTCCAAACGATAATACGAACTTAAATGTGATTGGATAGATAGACTTATATTTACATTTCAAAAATAAATAAAATTTTATTTTTAAGGAGAGGAAAGATCATCCTATTCTGATATAACGTAAATAAAATATAATGGTTATATACTGGGGAAAAATTAGTACATTATAATTTTATATTTATATTATATTCTATAATTTATAGATAAAGAGAATTTTTTTTATAAAGCATTAATGAAATGACAAAATAAAACTAGTTTATACAAGTATGTATTGTTATATAAATTACTTTTTTGTTGATCATATTTTTTTGTGAAATTGCTAATTATTTTCCTCGGATTTAAGGTGGTGTGGAAAAATTATAGACAAAAGATAAAGAAAAATCGAACCTAATTTGAATGATAATTCTAAAACATCTCTAAACAAGCAGCGACTTCAAGTAAATTTTTATTTTAATATAATATCTGAAATACATATAGTTAAACTATTCAAATGACTGTAAATTCAATATCAAGTGATAAAGAGACTATAGGTGTAAGATTTATAAGTGCAGGTATATCAGCCTGTGTTGCTGACTTTATCACCTTCCCTTTAGACACAGCCAAAGTTAGACTCCAGGTATGATGATTTTTTCATAACATAGCTTATTTATGATAAATGCAAGATACAAGGGGAAAATTCAAATATTCTATCAAACAAATTAACTAAACCAAATGTGATAAATTTAGATCAAATGCCAAAAAATGTTTCTGCTTGTATTACAAAATCAACATACCCTAATAAAACTAATTTAATAATAACCCGTGCCCTTTACAAAGACATTAATATTTCCATTCCTAACAATAATATCAATGTATCAACCAAAGTATATAATGGGCTTTATGGAACTATCAAAACTATTGTAAAGCAGGAAGGTTTTAAGGCTTTATATAATGGGCTTGTAGCTGGCCTACAAAGGCAAATGAGCTTTGCTTCTATTAGAATTGGAATGTATGAAACTGTTAGAACAAAATATGAATCCATCTTAACAAGTAATACTTATTTTTTTTAAAATTATACACTTATATTATTTAGATGTCACTAAATCAAAAACACTGCAAAAAGATCATAACATTAAGTTGCGTATAATGGCTGGAATAACTACGGGGGGCTTGGCAGTATTAATAGCTCAGCCAGCAGATGTTGTAAAAGTTAGATTACAAGCTCAAATACCACAACTCAATAAGGATCTCAAAAGTGGAGGAGTTAGATATAATGGAGCAATGCATGCTTACAAAACAATATACAGAACAGATGGTCTCAAAGGATTGTGGAAAGGTTATTTTTGGCATGAATTACTTAAATTTTTTTATAATTCTGATTAATTAAATATGACAATTTTAAAAGCTTAAAATTTTTTCAACACTTTATGACATCATCTCATGCCATATGGATTCATTTATATATCCCATGACCAGATTTTTTTTAAACTTTCTTTAATCAATTGTAAGTAAATGGAAGCCAAATTTTTTATAAAATATATATGGAAAATATTTTTTATTAGATAATTAGGGACTTTACTTAATTATTTAAGATATTTAGAATTTTTTTTTATTTTAGATGTACTGGCAAATCCAATTTTTGGAATTTCATTGTTTACTATTACTTTTTAGAAAACTGCAAGGTATAGATTTAGTCATTTGACTATCGTGTTTGAGGATTAGTAGTAAAATTAGTCAAAAATTTTATATCCAAATAGGTGATGGGTAGAATAAAAGGGGGTGGTATAATCCAATGCTAAACTGGTAAGGAAATATTTAAAGGAAAGAGTAATAGGTTTGGGAGATTAAGGTGAGGGTGGTAAAGTATGTGTGAGGTATGCAACTTGTCTGGGGTATAATGGCCTATAGAATAAAATAAAATATCGATAAGGATATAAATGTTAGGCAAAGAGGGGAATGGAAACGTTTAAAGTGAAGTGAATGAAGGTGAAATGAAAATAAGTTTGGCAGAGTTGTTTTGGATGGGGAGGGGGATAAGGAGATGGACCTAAGATATTATTATTTATAATGAAAAAGTTCAGGTAAAAGGGGAAAATACGAAGTTAGAATGGGTAAAACTTAAAGATCTGACTAAGTAGGGTTACAAAAACCAGAGAATTGATATAACGAAACAATTAATTTTTGAATATTTCAAAACCAAAAAATATTTTATAAAATATGAAAACAAAACATGTGTTCTTTGCTTTATCAGCCCTATATCTGAATATTGATTAAATTTGATATTTAAAACAGTAATTAATTTGTATTTAAAAAAAAAGCTAGTAAAGGCCTTTCCTTTTTTAAAATTTATCTTCTTTACTCATTAAGAATTTAGTTCTCTTAATCTTAGTTGATCATAACTGGCAAAACTCTCAAAACTCACTTTTTTCCTAGTCTTCATTACGTTGAATTTATAACAAAAGCGTTATGTTCGAGCATTGCATTTATTTAACGCTATCTAAATAATCAAAGCTGATTCTTCATAACGATAATGTTTAATAAAAATATATCTTCTGCTTTATAACAAATATTTGATAAAAATGGATTTTCTGCTTTTTTTTAAAAATTGTATATAAAAACTTGTAATATAATTTAGCTATTATTTTTATAATCTCATCGCAACATATTTTTTTTCTCTAATACACTCCATATTTATAAAATATACCTGTCTATTAGCTTTGATTTTGTAAATAACTCACTGCTTGAAGATAATGCGCTTACTATAAATTCGCCCTTAATATTTTGGATTTCTTTTTATATTTTTTTTAAAGTTAATATTTTTTATTATCATGTGATAAAAATTATAATTACTATTGGTAAGCAAATATTACCCCATAATAAACGTTGGACCAAAGGGGGATAGAACTTTATTTTATTACATAAGAAATAGTAGGGGTTAAGAATAATATGGTAGCCATAACTTAATTTCGATCAGTAGTAGATAGAGAAATTGTTAGGTTGAATCGATGTCAAAATGATATCATCTTTTTTTATATAGTAAAACAGACGATTTTTTAAAAAATATAATTAGATTTCATACCCTAACTCCATTTATATGGGTTGATATTTTTATTTTCGGCCATTTTTAAGTTTACCCCCCCCCCATCTCCAGATAATATAATTCAAGTTACATTGTATAATAACAAGCTTTTAAGATTGCGGAAATTTCTTTGGGGAATGATAGATTTACTATTAGACCTACTATATATAGTGATTTTATTTTGCTGGATTTTCAGTGATGATTTTAAAAAAAGGGGGATTTAAGTATGACAAAGAATCACATGTTATATAATTATTAGTGAATTTTTTTGGCCAAATTATGAATTCATTAATCTTTATTTTGTTATAATGTGAATATTTGCAAAGTTAAAATATAAAAAAAAATGATATACAACTCTACATATTTATCGGAAGAACCTTATTTTATTTAATTTTCTTATTTGGAAATAAATTTTGCGAACTCTCCGCGATACATGTCAAAATTTTGCTTTACCATCAATTCGGCTGCTTATAAATCGAATGAGAGCGAAGAACGATTTTTTCGCCAACACGTATTTATTAAACCAAAAATTTCCTTTTAAGGCCGCATTTGAATGGACAATTGAAAATTCATAATAAAAACCTGTGATTAGAATTTTAAAATTTCATCCATTTTTATTTTGATAATAAATTCTCCGTTTTTACGAATTTGAAGACATAATATATCATAGATATTTACATTTCTAAGTTTAAAGCTATTTATAAATCGTTCAAGAGGGGCGTATGGTAGGTCTACGAATCTACCTACATGTCATGCCCTAATATGCATTTACCTAAAACTCTTTAAAATTCTCATAATTAACATGGATATGTTATGCCAATCATCCGCTATTGTTTTTTCTTAATGAAAACCATACACACTATAACTTAACACAATAATTATAAAAGGAATACTGCCTAACATGACTAGAAATGCCGTTATAAACGCCTGCGAGTTGGTAGGGTACGACATATTCAAACAATACATCTTAAGAAATACTCGTCTAAGCGATAATTTTCCTTGTCATTTTTTGTCTGCTTTCGGGGCCGGCTTTATAACCACGCTCATAGGTAATAAATAGTACGTTTATTTTATTTTAATCATTATAAATATTATCGTAAAACTTTTTATTAAACCCATATATTTTTTATGAAATCGAATAAACTGACAAGATTTTTTTTTTAACAGCTTCCCCCATCGATGTGGTGAAAACCAGATTCATGAATTCTGCTTCTAACAACTACAAAGGTTCCCTACACTGCGCCTATCGTATGCTAACCAAAGAGGGCCCCGTATCCTTTTACAAAGGGTATAGTCAATAATAATGCTTTTTTTAAATTATTTATTAGTATCAAAGCTCGTTATTCTTATGAGATCCTAGATTTTGGGCAAATTGTCTGGATCTTCGATCCTTTTAAAAAAAGTGAGCACAAGAAATCCTTTTTACTATTGGTCGTTCCTTCGATCCTTTTAAGGGAACGGAATAATAAAATGATACTTTTTTAGAATTTAATATTTAAATTTCGTTCTTTTCGTTATTAATATAAAAAAGAACATTTTTTAAAAAAAAATCTTCCTCATCCTTTTTTTAACAAATATTTGACTTAAATTTTTATTTTTTAAACACCAAATTTATTTAAAAGATTTACCCCATCATTCATGAGACTTGCTTCTTGGAACATAGTCATGTTTGTTTGCTACGAGCAATTAAAACGCCAAATACTGTATTTGAAGCAATCAGTTCATTAAATGTTAATTAACACAAAATGTCGGATGAAAATTTAAAAAGATTTTTGGATCTTTTAATATAGAAATGGTTTTAAACCTCCAATTAGCATTTAGAAAAATATTATATTATAATGATATTTTAAATTTTATAAACTGGGTAGTCAATTACTTATTTATATATAATTTTTTTTAAAATTAGACAATGTTAATGTATTTATTATATTTAAAAAAAATTCAAACATACAATCAAGGCAAAGGAAGCCATCATTATAATTTTTATTTATATTATCTAATATATAATCTTGAAAGTTATATATTATAATTAAGATTAACCTAACAACATAACTTCAAAGAAAGATATTTTATCATAAAATTTAACAACAATAAATGATATCTATTTTTAGACTAATTTTATCCTCCTAAAGTTAGATAAGTTCAAATGGATATCTACTAGCAGATGTTTATTAAAACATATTTTATTTAAAATTTAATAAATGTTTTTATTAAATTTTGGTTTAAAACAAAACATAAATTACATTTTTTTTGTGGTATAATTATTTCCGAAAATTTTTCTAAATAAAAGTATAAATTTTTGCTATATTTATTTGGGCAGCAAAAAAATATTTTTTTGCCTAGATTAATGGAAATATGTATTAATATAATTTTGCCTAAATTCTTTTCCTAAATTCCCTAAAAAAAATAATAAAATATAATTTTGTCTAAATTTAAATAAAGTAATATAATTTTTTATTTTTTGAGTCCCAAAAAAGGGTCATAGTAATTAATGAGAAAATATTTGCTGTCCGATATATAATTTCTAGTAAAGAGGAGACGAAAGATTTTGCCACTATTTCAAGGGAGAAAATGGAGCAGGCTTCAATATTTGGCTGTTTCCCAACACCGCTATTTTCTCTATTTCGCTTCCTAAAAAAAAATATATTAAGATTTTAATAATTTTTGGGTCTAATTTTTTTAAAAAAAATAAAGTCATAGAGCCTTTTCAATAATCTGTTAAATTATTGGCACAGCTAAAAGAAAAGGTTTGAGTCCAAAATAGTGTTGTTAAACGACCCGCCCGATTTTTAAAAACGTCCCGATTCGAAAATTAGCCAAAATAATATTATGTAAGCCTGAAGATTTTACTCATAGGTGGCAGAAAGGTTTGGACCTCTATTTTCCAAATCCTGAGGCTTACATAATAAAGTCTAAAAGCTTAAATAATTAAAGGTGGGCTTACATGTTTTAAAAATTAATCGCTTAGATTTTCAGAAATCTCTTTATATGATTTATAACCATTTTATGTTTAAATAATTTAGCATATAGTTATGAGTATCAATAGTTACTTTACAAAAAGATGACCTTTTTATATTCTTTTCAGAACTTTTTTTAAAAAAATAGGACCTAAAAACATGATTTTATTTCACTGAATAAATTCTATTTTTCTAACCATTATTTTAATAAATATCTTATTTTTTACGTAGCCTAATGATGATATCGTCTAGTGTTGTTAAAATCTCGTTTTGAGCCGATTTTTAAAAACGGCTAACTAAATATTTTAGCAAAGAAAAATATAACCTAAACCTAGAGATTTCGCTAATAGATGTCTAAATCTTCGTGCCATTTATGGGCAAAATCTTTAGACTTGCGTAATATTTTTCTAGATAAGATATTGAGTTTACCGTTTTTAAAAATAGGTTCAAATCGAGCCGTTTAACAACACTAGGTTTGACTAAAAAAATGTTTAGCTAAACATGAAAAAAGATTTATGTATAAAAATACAAAAGATTTGAAATTATGGGTAAAAAAATATTTAAATATTTTATGCACGCTGAATACGTTTTCGTTTGGCAACAAAATCATAAATACTGCTTGGATATTATTTATAAAATGCTGATCAAATAATTTAAAAAAAATTTTATAGATGATAAATTTATCGAATATATGCTAAGTAATTTTTTTCAATATTTTTTTTTCATCCAGGTGTTTTCAAATATTTTTTTATCAATCTGAAGGAATTTTTTAATTGGAGATATATTTAAAATTAAGCAATTAGAATTGAATATGATTAAGGTTAGAGTTAGGGGTTGATATATTAAAAAATGGCTTTTAATAAAATTATATCATGTCTTTTTATTAATAATCTGTCAAATCAGACAAGTCATAAGATTATAAATAGACGAATAATATAAATCAGCTGCTATAACGATAATTTCCTTGAGTTGGACCATAGGTCAATTTATATAGGCTGGCTCATTTTATATTTTTAAAAAAAATATATTATAACTCACTTAAATTTTGCAATTCTTTATTCTCGCAAAATTTCTTATGCAAGGCTGCATCATCCAGATTTGAGCATCTCACGTATTGTATAACTAAATATATTATTTTTGTTACAAAAAAGAAATATTAATTATATTATTTTTTTCCTCCATAGTTTGAATCTAGAACATGGCAAAGTCTATGAAATTAGGACATAGAACTTCCTATTAAATATTTTTTTATAGGGACCCTTTTGTGCAAGTACTTTAAAATATCGTTGCCTGAGTATTAGAGTGTTCTAAATGCATATTTTTTAAATACTTTGCTATATTCTTATATATCTACAATAAAAATATTTAAATACGATTGAGAACAATCACCAATTTGCAATTATTACATTGTCATCTCCTTTTTAAAATATAGAAATACTTTTTTAAAAAAAATCCTCTCCTGAACAATTTTTAAAATATGAATATATAACACTGTAATAGTCAACCTACGACATGCCGTAGGAGTTTACTAGTAATTCTAGCGCGTTAATTTTTAAAATAGGACCTGCATTATGAGGGATTCGTAATCCGCCATGTATAAGAGTACCTAACCCTTGAATTTCAGACAATGCTGAATTTATTATTTATAAATTAAAGAAACAAAACAACAATTAAATAAATAAGAAATGCGCGATTTAAATTTTTTAAAATAGGGCTAAAAAAATCCCGGGGCTTTAAAAAGTAGTCCTAAAATTGATAAAAACTTATGATTTATATTGCACAAAATTTTTTGTGATACATTTTTTTTAGAGGATTTGCTTAAATTTTTCTTTTTATTACTTTAACTGAGCTTAACCAGAATTTAAAACTCGCCGTTTTAAAATTATCGGAAATAAGCTAGCTACTTTTTTAAAAAAAAATATTCGAAGTTAGAACTTTATTTAGTTCGGTCTGTTTTCTGACCAAATTAAGTTTGGGTCAAAATTCTCAACCTTAGGGGGGTTCTATATATATATATATAAAACGATTTTAAAATGTGTTTTATTTTTCAAAATAGCTCTTTTGTTAAAATTAATATAAGTAGAGTTAGAATATTATAATAATGAGATGATAGAATATTAATAACTATAGGGATGATACAAATTATAAATTAAAGTTGGAACTTCTATTTTCAATAATAATAAAAAGGTAAAATTTAACTTTGGTTCATTTTTCCGCTGTCGGCGATAAAGGTCCCTATGTGTTGAAAACTATCTATCTTGTCATCGGCTAATTCCTTGAAAATTCTATCTGCCAACTCTTTGAATTTACAGGCATTAGCTTCGTGAGGTTCTTTCAATACAAAGACATTTAACCTATAATGGACGTCTAAAAATTTTTTTAGTTTTTTTTTATACATTACATTTGTAAATTGAATAATAAATTGTAAAATTCACAATTTATTTCTAATATATTGATTTTGTGATCCGAGTTTTAAATAAAGAATCGAAATCTTACCTGTTTCATCCAGTGATACACTGAATTACCAATACCGTGAGTATTAGCCTCTAGGGTTAATCCTATTTTATTAAAATAAACAAGGTTCATACAGAAAATGAAACCGAAGAAATAAATTTTTTTGAAAAAGATCATATAATATTTCCTACCTGTCATTTAATCATGTTATGCGGAAAGTTTATTTTCCAAAATCAATAATAGACTATGTAAAGAATTATTTTAAATTGTTTCATATGTTTGCTCTATCTATTATGTTAAAATCCTGTGCCTGTGATATAATTATACTATAAATATAGCTGCAAATTTTTCTATAGTAAAAAAATCTATTTCTAATAAGAATTTGTCTAAGTATTTTTATTTAAATTTATTTTTTTCAAAATTTTTTGTGGCCATTTAGTAATTATATTTAAAATACACTTTATAATTATTTATAGTCTAATATATTTTTGTGAAAATTTGCCCAACCTAGATGAAGACACTATTTTCATTTAAATAAAATTAAAAGGTGGTGAGAGTGTAGTTTTGATTTCCTTTTTTTGCTGTTAATTTTGAATTGGTAGGAAGGGGTAGGGGATACAATTTTGGGGTGAGTAATGCCAGGCTTAGGAAGGGTGTAGGTACCTGGGCCCACTTAACCATTATACCTAGTTTCATTTTGAATATAAAAAAATAATAATGGTGGCAAGTTTTTATTTTTATAATTTTATTCTATATAAAGGGATAAAAATTAAAAAAACAACTATTTAAAAGAAAATGCATAATAAAAATATTAAAATAAAATGAAAAGTATTTAAACTTCCAGGCTGATTTGGAGGTGTATCATAGCATATTAGATCACTTAATTTTCTGAGAGAAATGTTCTTTTCCTTTTTCAATAAAGGTTTCATGACATTTAAAAACTTGAGCCATTGTTCATCCTTGGATAAAGAATCCCTCACCTGACTCCTTTGTTGGTAAGAATCTGTTTTTAAACAAATAATAAATTTATTACATTCATTTTATTTTATTTTTTTATCACATTTTCTTTCTCTAAAATAATTAAAATTTAAAATGAAAATGTGGACCCAGTTTAGAAAAATTAAATTTCAAAAATATTGTTTCTCAGATTTAAAAATTCAAATAAAACTATCATTGATTAATCATTATAAAGATAATGTGTAAACCATTATTGATATGTACAGTTTGTTTTCCCTCAAAATAAGATTATATATTAAATATTTTTACCATATTCCCAAAGGTGAATAACTCTATTTAATGTTCCAAATTCAGTAAACCAATAGCCAAGGAGTTTTGAGTATTTAACTCTGATAGGCATATTATCAGTTGTTATTTGAATAAACTTTTTCATATGTTGAGGCTCTACTTTATACATACGCATTTCATATAATTTTTCTAAGCTGGTATCTAAAGGCGATTTCACATTTGAACCTCCAAATGGCATTTTATAAAATAAAGCAGATGAAAATAACTTTAAATTATAATTATTGTGTTTAATAAATTGTTTTGATGTCTCAAAGTAGATTTTGTTTATTTGATTAGTGTTTAATTGGCATATTTTAGGCAAAATCTAATTATAAAATTATAAATTTTAAATAATAATTTATAATATATTACCTTAATAAGATGAAGAGTCATATAGGTCTATTTACAAGTGGCCTTGATACAGATGATTTGCACTTTAAACTAAATGAGTTTAATACATTATTTCGAAATAATGGAGTGATCAGCTGATTGTAAATTAATCATAGACATTACTTAACAAAAACTATTTCTGGGTAACTCTCTACCATTTAAAGGAGTTAGAGTCTATCGAAACTCATATTCATGTCAAACAATATACTATAATAATGCATTTATTGTAAATTTGAAAGTTTTAATTGAATTTATGTTCTAAAATATAAATCCTTTACGTCACAATATTTTTATAGTTAATTTATGAAGGGAACTATAATTATAAAGTAAAATATTTTTTAGAGGTGTAGGTATAGGTTTTTGAAAGGGTGGGTTTGTATCCAGTGAATATCCTGTCATGTATAGGCTGGTTCTGACTGAGTAATAAATTGCTCTTATATTACCATTAGATTTTTATTTTAAATTCCATTTCACATATTTCCAAAGGAAGAGATAACAATTAATATAAAAACATAATGAGTTAATTTAGAGTATTTATTTATTTTTACTCGTAATAGCAATCGGACTTGAATTAGCATTTTCTGAAAAGGAAGAAACACCTGCAAAGTTCCAAATTAAGAGTTTTTTGAAGGATAAAATATTGAAATTATATTATCTGGGCTAAGGGGAAGGGGGGGGGGTATGACGCAAAACTATTAAGGAAGTTAAAGAGAGCTAATATTTAATATTTTTTGAGTTTGGAGCCACTCTTCGATAATTTCGAATCCAGCCATAAACAATATCAGGCAAAATTAATATTATTCCACATTATAATACATACAAGATAGATACATTTAGCCTCAATTTAGCAAAGCAGTGACAACCACTTCAGGCACCGCTATTTAAAGTTTCCATAAAAATCATCTAACAGTGTTAATTTAAGAAAGGGCATACGGTTGTAAAAACACCTACAAAATCTATATTATTACTTTCCAATGTCCTCACTATATCATTCATGACGTCATGTAATTGGTACTTCATGTCATTGGTAAGTATTTATTTATTTTTTTGTAAAAGAACTTTTCTTTTTATCAAGCCTCATTTATAGTGTTATGTTATTTATATTCATATAAAGCCTCATTTACAAAGGATATGTTGCGATTTGTTGCTAAATTATATGCGATTTTGATAAAAAGGCATGATTTTTCTTAAATATTATAGAAAATAATTATCTCCATTTTAGATTTATCTTAAAAACATTTTATATCATTGAAAGACTATTGTTATAGATAAAATATTTTACTCGGAGAGTTATATAAATAGTAGGAAGTAATCTAAAACAAAACAAAACTGCACATATTTATGTTAATTATTAATAATGATGCCAGTTATTTTGAAGTATTTATTAAAATGAAAATATTTAATAATGCTATCTGGAAGGTGATATTAAATGTTAATGATGATTTAACATATAATATTTTTAGGTAATTCATAAAAATAATTAGAAAAATTATATTAATAAAACAAAGATTTTCATTTTTAATATAAATGAAAATTTTTATTAAATACCTGCTACAGATTATTTTCTTAGCCTCGCATTATTACTTAGGATTATTTAAATCAGCCCTCTTTTAAATATAGTTAAAAATATATGTATAGATGATAAAATAAGGTAAATACAATAATAATATATATTTTTTTAAATTAATATTTCAAGATATGTATACTATAATATAAATAATATTTTATATAATAAATAATGAATATATTTTATAATAAACAAAATATAAAATTATTTTCCATTCTTTTCTTTAGTAAAAAAAACCATATTTTATAGATAATATACAAATCAATTTTAAATTAATTTATATTTCATTGATAAAATATTTAAATTTCCAAACAGTATATATTAAACCACTGCACTGGATATTTATCCAATGCACTGGATATGCTCTCTAAAGGGTATTAATATTAGCACCTCTATTACTATAGAAAAGCACTTATTTCTACAGATTATATTTCAATAAAAATAATAATAAGTTCTATTTATTCTTTAATATTTCCTCCTTTATTCTTTTCCCTTTCACTGTTCCTTTTCTCCCCTTTTTCTTTACCTTTCAATTTTTATAGGGTTATTAAGATGCTGATTTGGGTCGATTTACAAAACTACCCTATTAATTTTTAGACAAAATAATATTATATAAGTCTCGAGATTTGGCAAAATATAGCTCCAACATTTCTGCCACAAATTCTTTAGTCTTACATATTATTTTGGCTAAAATCTTAATTGGTTAGTTTTTAAAAATCGACCCAAATCAGAATTTTTAACAATCCTACCTTCCCTTGCGCTTCCCTTTTCTTTTCCTTAATCATTTGCTTCCCCTTTTCTTTCTTTCTCTTCTTTTCTTTCCTCTTTCCTTACCTTTTTTCTTTCTCTTTCCCTTACCTTTCCATTTTCTTTCTCTTTACCTTTTCCTCTCCTTGCTCTTTTCTAGATTTTCTTTCCTTTCTCCTTTCCCATCTTATTTTCTTTTTCATTTTTCTTTTGCTTTCTCTTTTCGTTTATCTTTTTCTTTTTCTTTCCCTTTTTTTTCCTTTTCCTTTTTCTTTTCTTGCTCTTTCTTTTCATTGCCTCTTTTTTTCCTTTCCCTTTTTTTTCATTTTTCTTTCACTTTCCATTATCCATTATCCCGTTTCCTTTGCTTTTTTTCTCATCTCATTTCCTTTTTTTCCCTTTCCCCTCTTTTCATTTTATTCTTTCCCTTTTTCAATTCCATTACCTTGCTTTTTTCTTTCATTTTTTTTATCTTTACGTTTTTCTTTTCATTTTCTTTCGCTTTTCTTCTATCTTCACTTTTTCTTTCACTTTCCCCTTTTCTTTCACTTTCCATTTTCTTTTGCTTTTTGTTACATTTTCCTTCTCCTTTCTCTGTTTCTTTTCCTTTCTTTATTCCCTCTTCCTTTTTATTACTTTTCTCCTTCTTTCATCTTCCCCTTTTTCTTCCCTTCACAATTTTTTCTTTGCTGTGCCGCTTTACATTTCCCTTTATATTTTTCATCTCCTTTCCCCCTATCCTTCCCTTGTTTTTTTCTTTTCATTCCCTTCTTTCCATTTTTCTGTCACTTTTCTATCCATTTTTTTCCTTTTCCTTTCTTTTTTTCTTTAGTTTATAATGTTTGAAACTAAATATATTCAGGGTACATACCAAAATACCTTTCCTATGATTGTCTTATATATTAATCAGGGAATCATTGTAAAGAATAGTTGCTTGTCTTTTGGTATATTTAATTTTGGAAGTTTTATGTTATAATTTTTATTTAAAAAAATAAATGTCTGTTTTGTAGGAAACTTTTAATTTTAAATGATTATGATTGTGCAGTATATAGTTTCGTCGATGTTTACATTCCTTGACAATATTATTATTACAATATTATATTATTCTAGTATAATCATGAGGATCTGTAATCTTGCAATTTAAAATTATTTAGTAAAGGCGATTGGTTTTTGAATTGGAAAAATCGGATATGACCGGAAATTATTCCATCATACAGTGGCCACATAGTAAATCAGACAATTTTGACAGGAACTTTTGTGTATTGTATTTAATTTATATAAAAATCATATAGTAATTAATATAAATAAGAGTAGTTCACAGGTATACGGAATTAAATTTAAAGGTAATCTATACATGCTAGAATTCATTTTCGGTCAAACAATTACAAATTCCTCTTTATAAATTATATAAACTTGAGATATTCAGAATCCTCATGGATTCAGATCCTGTTATGACTTTCAGGTTATTTGGATAGTACCTTCAGTGTCCCGCTATATACCTACATTATTATTTATTATTTATTATTTGATTCATATTTTACGAATCCTATATTGGAATGGAATATGTAAAATAATATTATTCTTTCGAATATTAATGTTTTATTATTCGATCGAAATATTCAAAACTATTTAAAATTATTTGTACTATTTGTAGATATATTTAAATATTATAAATTATTGATGAATATTTTAAAATTATTTCTAAGTATTCAACATTACTCTTGTGGAACTTTATATTTTTTATAATTTATTTCCATATTCATTATTCATTAATTTCGTTTTAGCAAATATATTTTTTAAAAAAATTTAAATTTCGAATCTAATGTTAAACGAATCTAACTGAATAATTGTTTTAATATTCCTAAGAATATGTCATTTTGTAGTCCTTAGCACACGGCAAGACTGCTTTTATGATGTCCCTGTGGAACAGTATATTTGCATAATTATAACGATTTCCAATAAAATCGTAATTAATAGGATAATTTTTAATAATAATATATTAAAAGGCCTATATGTGCAAGCAAAGTAACTTTGAATAATATTATATCGTAGAATAGAATAATCTTTATATTATAATTGCAAAAAATAAATAATATAATTATTTCATTTTATGCTTTATTACCCAATTATATACTTTTATACACTTTTATACACTTTGTTAATAAATAAACCTTATAACATCAAAGAGTTTCAAATCATTGCAAGCTTGAAGTTGAATAATAGCAACAATACTTAAGGCTAAGACAAAAAATTTGGATTGACATCGTGACTAATCGGTTTTGAATGGCTCAACTAAATAATAAGGGAATTCATTATTATTATCTAAATCTATGAAATGGCGTAACTAGCCTTTACAATCTCAAGGGCTCTTCAAATTTTTCAGGGAGCTTGAGCCTAGTATCGCTACTGAATTCATGTTCTTTATTCAATTCACGAATTAAAAATAGAAATAATTCTTAACAAAAATAGTTTCAAGGATTAATTACAGAAATCTTCCGAACCACCCCATAATGGTATGATTTCAAAAATCCGGCCTTAAGAATCTTTAGAAAAATATTTTAAAAAATTTCTACCAAGCCGATTTTCAAAAAAATAAATTAAAATAATATCGATTAATCAATTGGAAAGTTGTTAAAAATATTTGGAGCGTTTAATAATTTATTTCTTGCTCATGTTTTTCAATTTCCTCTTCATACAAAAGTGGGAAATCCAAAATTATTCAAAATAAATAAAAAAAATTTCAAAA